CTGTTAGATTTGTTTACCTCTGTGTTCTCTGTTAGCCTTGTTTACCCCTGTGTTCTCTGTTAGATTTGTTTACCTCTGTGTTCTCTGTTAGCTTTGTTTACCTCTGTGTTCTCTGTTAGCTTTGTTTACCTCTGTGTTCTCTGTTAGCCTTGTTTACCTCTGTGTTCTCTGTTAGCTTTGTTTACCTCTGTGTTCTCTGTTAGCTTTGTTTACCTCTGTGTTCTCTGTTAGATTTGTTTACCTCTGTGTTCTCTGTTAGCCTTGTTTACCTCTGTGTTCTCTGTTAGCCTTGTTTACCTCTGTGTTCTCTGTTAGCTTTGTTTACCTCTGTGTTCTCTGTTAGCTTTGTTTACCTCTGTGTTCTCTGTTAGCTTTGTTTAGCTCTGTGTTCTCTGTTAGCTTTGTTTACCTCTGTGTTCTCTGTTAGATTTGTTTACCTCTGTGTTCTCTGTTAGCCTTGTTTACCTCTGTGTTCTCTGTTAGCCTTGTTTACCTCTGTGTTCTCTGTTAGCCTTGTTTACCTCTGTGTTCTCTGTTAGCCTTGTTTACCTCTGTGTTCTCTGTTCTTCGTTGTCTTTCCGGGACTCCTTCGGGTCCACGCGGACCGAACATCCGACAGAAACGTTTCTACAAAACTTGTTTTCAACTTCATCCAGCAGTTCGTCCAGATCGTCGCCATCATCGTCCATGGTTGTTTGTGCTAACCCAGCTAGCAAGCTAAAAGCGTTAGTTGGTTGCTAGGTAACGGGAGGAAAGAGCGGAAGTGGAGAGACGCCGTCTTCAGATATGTTTACAATTCACTTTGAGCATAGCCGAAAAAACCCAGGAGATGTTATACTTGAACCAGGGTCTTCCCACATTTAGAACCAATGCTTAGGCCTCTAGGGTTACTGTCAGGTGTATCAAACACACAAAATAACAGACATTATTTATTTTTTAAAATGCTATAAAAAGCGGCATGTAAACTAGTGAACATGCAGAAAACTTGCATCGTACAAAAACACGCGAGAAAATGCTTTTTTACTCGAGGACTCGTTGAAATAGTGGCGTATTATGTGGCACTGTTTGCTTTTCATAGTTACCTCATTACGTGACAGAATTTATTTTAAATCCTGATTAAAACACTGATGATTTGAGCAGATTTGTTCCACATAGAAACATTAGATTGTTAGTTTAAATGTACACTACCACCTCAGAGATAGGTGTATTTCCTCATTACGTATTTCAGTGTCAGGTGAGATGATACTTTTCATATTTACCTCATAAATAAGTTGTTTTTGTACACTTTGAACCACTAATGCTTACGTTGGCAGACATACATTAACTCCTTGCATTTACAAATGTATAATTTCAACGTGTGGACCCAGTCTTTAAAGCTTCATTATCTGCCATACAGTACTTTGTTTATTCTCCTAGAAAATCCACAAGTGATGTGGGAACTAAAGATGGAGGAAGACTGGAGATGGATTAAACAGAAAGACAGTTATTATGCAATGCTTATAGTTTAAAACCAAATCTCAATGGAACAACAGCTCCTTCATCTGTCTACCTATTGAGGCTTTTATTTAAATGTGCAAGGAATTACTCTTATTTGTCGATGCCATTGGTTTACCCGTTAGCACGACGCTCGGTTAGCTCAGCGTAATGCCACTAACGCACAATATAAAGTGAGATAAATGCAAGAGTAAAAATATGTAAATGTGTTTATGTTGAACATAGAATGAAAAAGAAAAGTGACGTTGTCGGCAGGATTCGAACCTGCGCGGGAAGATCCCAATGGATTTCTAGTCCATCGCCTTAACCACTCGGCCAAAAATGGGGCAAAAGGGACTACTAAGTGGGGGAAAGAAGAGGAAAAGAAGGGGGGAAAGGGAGGGGGAAGAAAGAAAGAAAAAAGGAGACTTTGTAGTACTCTAAGGCCAATAAACCCATTTCATTTTCACCCATTTACAAAATGTTGAAACGTTTAGCATAGAAAAACAAAAACACAAGTAAACGTATGCTTTCCCATATTATTTTTATTATTTCTGGAATGCCATGACAACGATAAACATCTTATACAACATTATTATGAACACACAGATAAAAGTGGTACATTCTATACAACATTATTATGAACACACAGATAAAAGGGGTACATTCTATACAACAACAGTAAAAGAGCTTACTTCTTGTCTAGAGAGCCTTTCCATTCTGCTATGGTCTGTCCAGATGCTGGACAGTACCATTTACCCTTAAGCTGGGTATGGCCAGTGCTCTTTCTTTTCGACTGACCACAGCTTTTGCATTGGTAGTGGTAGTCCTCTTTTATGAGTCGCTTCTTCGGCGGCTCCCCTCTTGCCGCAAGCACCTGGTCCTCTTTTGCTGTCTTTTCATGCCGCCATTTTCTGCGCCTATTTAGGTCGACAGAGGAATGCTGAGGAATAGGGGCTTGTGAAGATGAAGCAGTAGACGGAGCAGGTGGAGGGTGACCTGGGCCTGCAGGCACGGGGAACTGCCATGAGGCAGGAGATGGTGCTGAAGGCACGGGGTACTGCCATGAGGCAGGAGTTGGTGCTGGAGGCATGGGGTACTGCCATGAGGCAGGAGATGGTGCTGGAGGCATGGGGTACTGCCATGAGGCAGGAGTTGGTGCTGGAAGCATGGGGTACTGCCATGAGGCAGGAGATGGTGCTGAAGGCACGGGGTACTGCCATGAGGCAGGAGTTGGTGCTGGAGGCATGGGGTACTGCCATGAGGCAGGAGATGGTGCTGAAGGCACGGGGTACTGCCATGAGGCAGGAGTTGGTGCTGGAGGCACGGGGTACTGCCATGAGGCAGGAGATGGTGCTGGAGGCATGGGGTACTGCCATGAGGCAGGAGTTGGTGCTGGAGGCATGGGGTACTGCCATGAGGCAGGAGATGGTGCTGAAGGCACGGGGTACTGCCATGAGGCAGGAGTTGGTGCTGGAGGCATGGGGTACTGCCATGAGGCAGGAGATGGTGCTGGAGGCACGGGGTACTGCCATGAGGCAGGAGATGGTGCTGGAGGCATGGGGTATTGCCATGAGGCAGGAGATGGTGCTGGAGGCATGGGGTACTGCCATGAGGCAGGAGATGGTGCTGGAGGCATGGGGTACTGCCATGAGGCAGGAGATGGTGCTGGAGGCATGGGGTACTGCCATGAGGCAGGAGATGGTGCTGGAGGCATGGGGTACTGCCATGAGGCAGGAGATGGTGCTGGAGGCATGGGGTACTGCCATGAGGCAGGAGATGGTGCTGGAGGCATGGGGTACTGCCAAAATGCAGGAGATGGGGCTGGAGGCATGGGGTACTGCCAAAATGCAGGAGATGGGGCTTGTGGAAGGTGACCCTGCGTGTGCGTGGATGAAGCAGAAGAACCTGAGTCAGCTCTGGCACTGCGGCGCTGGCGTATCAATGCCTCACCCTCCCTATTGTCAGGCTCCTGGATTTCTAGGATAACATGTCCGTGCTGCACTGGTTCAGTAGGGAGCTCCCTCGTAATGGCAAGGAATCCTCAGCTGCCGTTGCCTTTTCGGGAAGCTGCACTCCTTGGAGCAATGAGTCCCGAGCGGTTCTTTTTTGTCTGTCTTGTAACCTAGAAAGACATACAAAATATTGAGAATTTCATACAAAGTGAATCCATCTAAAGTGCAGCTGTTAAAGAGAATGTAGCCAACATATCTTACCAACAAGACACAGTGGTGTTGTTTATAGTGACAAGAACCAAGTCGGTCTTCTCCTGTACGAACGAGGCTATCTTCCAGCAGTTGCTTTATGTGGACGTAAGATTGCACCATCGACTGCGGAATAGGCAAGGTTTTACCCTTGCTGTCTTTGGGTCGGTTTCTTGCAAGCTCAAACTCCTTCAAAAGCCTGAGTGAAACACATTCACATATGCAGTTGGCATCAGGTCTCAGAGCAGCCTGACCATGGGTCATGAATAGTCTGTGAAGGGAAAAGACAATTTATAAATATTATACGGATATACAGTACAACCCCACTTCACAAATGGACTATACCAGTTCATTTGTCTGAATCCATTACTAAGAGTCTAAAATGCTGTGAGGGTTAGACATACAAAACAACTACTTACTACTAACTACTTAAGATATATGTGAATTATGTAATGTGTGCATCCACTATAAGTCAGTTCACCTTTCAGCTGCTTGTTGGCCTGGCGCAGAGCCACTTCGTTTCCTGGAAGCTCTCCATGGTCCAGGCAAGGTCCTTTTTTTGGACTTCAGGCTATAGGTTGTGGGTTGCTTATCCATTTGATGTAGCTTTGAATACAGCCTCACTATGTCATCCGTCTCGCCTAGTGATAATGCCGTTATTGTTCTATTAAGTAGAACAAGATACTTGGCCAAGTCATCCACAGCCTCCCATCCCTGAACACCTCGAGAAATCACAGCGGGTATTCTGAAAAATGAACAACCATTGATAAATGACTAATAAATGGTCACATGACCTGAGCCGATGTCCTGGGCGCAGAGACGTTTTTGTCAGAAGTACACATCTGGCAGGACTGTGAGACATCATCGTGCTATAAGCACACAACACCAATTGACTATTTGAGACTTAATGAAACAAGTTATTCATAGCATGTGCAGAGCAATAATTAATCCAGAAGAATTTAAAAACAATGTGATTTTACAATAGGTCAGATTACCTGAGAGGTTGTGTAAGTGGACGCGTCGGGTGAGTCAGCAGGAAGAGAAATAGTGGATTCAGGCCGGGGCTCTTCAGGTGGGCTCTCAGCTGCAATAAAACAATAATCAGATTACCTGAGATGATGTGTGAGGTGATGCACCGCGGGGTGCTGACTGAAGATCTCCACTGCATCACTAATTGTGACGTCAAGGCACTCCTCCTCCTCCTCCTGAACTTCAACCTGGCGGTCTGGAACAATGGTGCCAAGTTCACTGTCCTGTTGTGGACCCAGCAGATCTCCTCTGTCAGACTGAGCCAGCAAATACTCCACAGCTATACGCTCACCTGCCATAAAATAAATTATAAAAAAGAAAATGTTTAAATTTGGAGAAATAGACAAGTTGCTACTAGAAAGAACAAGAACAGAAAGGCCTAGTTGCAGTGAAAATGGGGTGTCCTGAAGTGACTTACCAGTGGGTTTCCCAGGGGGGATGAATTCCGGTAGTAGCGCACAACCAAGAACTCGCTGGCTGAGGGCATTTAAATTAGTCTTCAGTCGGACATTGTAGATCCTGGTTTGTGAAGCACCACTCACATGTACAGCTGCATGGGCTCGATTCATGTTCCATCTGGAACTCCCTTCAAGCATGTACATTTGTGTGTGCATCGTATTAGATCTCCAGCCTTAAAAAAAGCAAAACATTTTAAATATAATTAGCATTAATGAAGCGATGATACACTTTTCCCCATGTGTGCAATCTATCATACTGTTTTTATGACAATTCAAAATATACATTATTTGTACCCGGGATGAAGGTGTTCTGATGCCGATGGAAGCTCTCCACAGAAGAGGAACCTCTGCCACATCTTAGGACATCCAGAACCTTACTGCCCTTTTGCAGACCTGATCCGACTTTGGTGTACAGTTCCACACCAGGGGGATCCAATGTTTTTGTTGAACCTCCCACACACGTGTCATGCTCTCAGGATTGATAAACCGCAAACCTGATGTGTCAGTGAGCTCCCACATTGAGTTGAGCAAATCTTGGATGAGGGCACGGCTTTCCTCTATCCCACGAGTTCTCCTCCTGCAGTGTTTGGCCAGTTCGCTGGAGCTGATGTTGGCCAGAACTTGCGCTTCTGAAGGAGTCTGACCAGCATGTCGTTTCTTGAGCTCTGAAGTCTTTGCATCTTTCAGATGGCTGATGTCATCCTCCTCCACTCAAAAATGCAGCTCGACATTTTGGAACAGAAAGTGCCATACAGGGGATGGTGTTCTGTAGTCAGACAACTGATGACAACAATCCGTTACCTATGACGTATTTATATGACTCAGCCTCTAGTGAATGGAATGTTAACACGTTACCTAACCATTCCTAACTAATAGGTCCTAACCGACCAATGACAGGGCAGTGCATCGTCACGTGCTCTTAACCGACCAATGACAGTCAGTGCATCGTCACTAGACATGGAAAGGATAGTAACGCCCATTCCATCTCCGTGTTGACCAGGAAATCACAGAAAAAGAGGAGTTTTTAAGCAAATTATATTCAACTATGAACATCAGCGTTATTGTTAGGGTGTTACACACTTGACACCGAGGAAGATGTTATGATTATGCGTACTTTACGGCTCAAAACATTCAGTAACGGTACAATGTTGTGTGGTAAAACAGCTATTTTTTACTTAAAGGACAAAACAAAAACAGGGATTTCTTCTACTCAGAGTTTAATCAAATTATCTGTTTGTTTTTTCAGAATAAAGTGCTCAAAAGCTTGCACTAAATAAACGTGTCAAACCAATTCCCCACATTGAGCAAACTCATCGCAACCCTTAACATGGACTTACCATAAAAGTTGCTTTCAGGATTTCATTTCATTAGTAACATGCACCTTAAACACACAGGTACAAATAATGTCATTTAATTAAAAAAACAAAAACAGACAAAGGTGAATCACAGAAATGACCAGAACTTTTCTCTCCTTTAAAAACAATATTTAATATAATTAGTAATGGGAAATCTTCTTGAAATCCACAAGTGGTGGACAAGAAAATGGTGAGTGTTTGTGCAGCAGTGTCGAGCACCAGCACCGATTGAAAAGACAAAACCAGGACGCAAAAGCAGCTTAAAACTGAAATAACTATTGTTACTTCTAATTTTTCAAACTAGAACCAGCATCAAATAAATACCTCAAAATGCCCAGCATCTTTACCTTATTTCCTAAAATGAAGTGTCAACATTCATTTTTAATAATGAAATCTTTAATTGGCTTTAAACTAAAACCTAAAACAAGAACACATTTCAGAAATATTTTCTCATTTTAAAGCAACGTATACTCACTAATAACCCTAACATCTTTGTAACACTTTACTACACACCAACTAAACCCGTAACATTATTTTGTATCATGTATAGGGTTAATACAATTCTGAGGTCGGACCAAAACAACGCAGGAAGACCAGCTTACAGAAGTATTGGACAAAAATAATCATAAAATCACCTATTTTTTTCTCTTTGAGATCGAAAACAGAAGTGAAAAAAAACCCTGACATTCAAGAGGCGTCAAAGGAGAAGTGTTAGATTACATATAGAGTAAAATAAACTCCCTAACAGTCATGGTTTCATGTCTGCGTCTCGGGATTTCCCCGTGTGTCATAGATGAAGGTCAATAAGATGGAAATAACACAGCGCAGTTTCTATTCTTGTTTTTAAATGCCACGTTGCTCATGTATCCGCATGTATACGGTCCACTGTCATATGAAGCTCAGCGCAAGTTCTTTCAAGAAGACTGGTATACATTCACCCCGCAGCTGCTTATAATCAGCTCATCACGGGCTTCCTGCTAACCTATTACATTCATCTCATCTCAGCAGCCAATCAGCGGGCTGCAGCCACACTTTAAAATGGTTCTCCTCTCTCCTGAAGTCAGCTGTGATTTCAGGCTGCCTCCCGCCTCCTCCCCATCCACCTCCTCTTCATCCCATCTCATCAAATCCAGATCATCCTCATCACCAGTGTCTAGAACCCGGAGGGGGGGGCTCACGGCTGCATTTCCCCCTTTAGATATACCATTTCAGGATCGGGGGCTAATCGCCAAAGACTTCACATTTATCATGTGATATGTGTCAATACTTGTTCTTTAAACAAAATGGAGTCTCCTGATTGAAGTGCAGATGCAACACGTGAACATAATAAAGACTGCTGTGTGTTATGAACATTTCTACCTGCATGTGTAAGAGTATATCAGTCAGGGTTACAGAATGAAACAGTGCAGATCTCCTCTAATATGTTCCAAACAAAAACACTTTATTAAACAGACATAACAATATATACAAATAAAGAACTCTTCTTCTTGTCCTCGAACAAAGTATTTCTACAAAAGCATTCCTGTATAAATGCACATAACGTCTTTGGTCGTTGTGAAGCACGTGGCGATTAAACCCTCAAACATATTTCACAACAAAGCAATTAGTGGCTAGATTGGCATCCATTTGAATATCGATTATAATATTCAAAACATTGTTGTGATTTCTTTGTGTCAATAATTTAAATTTGCTTGTTTTCATTCAATGATTTGATGTTTCAGGTGTCAGTATGCAGAGCCTCTTCTGTGACACGTCTCCATGCTCAAACGTTATCTATCTTTCTCATTCTGCCTCTTTTCACCCTCTGTCTGAAACCAGAGTGTGTGGGAGAGAAACTCCCTCTGTAGGTTAACCTTTCCAGACTATTTACATGCACACAAAACTGTATCAAAGGGAAACCCCTAAAAGGAGAATAGGGACCCAACAAACGATAAGAGGGAACACTCAACAAAGGGCGTGCTTTAAGTGTGTTTGAGACTTTTCTTCAAAGAGTACATCTTTCTGAGTCTACCTAAACTTAAGTACCATTCTCGCTGCAGGACTTTTACTTGCACTTGTAGTATTAGCACTTTTACTAGAGTAAAGGATCTGAATACTTGCTCCAACACTCAGAACGTAACTTCTCCACACCCTGTCCTTCTTTTATGAGTATCCAATAGTTTAAAACAGGACGAACAGGATGAACAGTCAGCTTCCTGTGATTCAGCTCAACTTGCTGCTACTATTCAGCTGGGCGTTCATTTTCAGAGGTGTGAGAAGAACTCAGATCTTTAACCCGAGTCAAAGTAGTAATACGACAAAGTAGAAGTATCCTGCTACAAGTAAAAGTCCTGCATTCATTTGTTACTCAAGTAAAAGAACAAAACAAGTAAAAGTCCTGGGAGAACAAATGGAAATCGTTGATGTTCTGAACGTGTTCATTGTAATGTTGCTGCTGGTCAAGGTGGAGCTAACTTTAATACCCTGCCACGCATCTCTGTCCACAGGTCGTCATATGAACCAGTAGCTCAAGCACAATGACCTCAACATTGTACTTAATGCAGGACTTAAAGTATTGGGATCTGGAGAGGAACGTAAAGGGATCCGTCCTGAAGTCTGAGGGCTCAAAGAAGAGCACGACATCCACTGCCGTAGAGTCAGGTACGACTCTCTGCTTCCATCAAACGCTACGGGACAGAAGCATTAGTTCATAGCTGCAGCGACGCAACTCTTCCACAGGTGCAACGCTTTGCTCAGGTTCATGTGATTCTCTAGTTCCTGCACCCCTTTCTAATGACTCAGAGACAAGGCCTTGATTGGCTCTGCTGTTATCAGTGGGGCCAAATGTTTGCTCACTTTATGTTTCCTGAGCGTTTGGTTGACTTTAAAAAAATAAATAAAATCATCTTAACTCAAGTTCCACTTACTAGATTTTTAAACCAAATCACAGTCTTCCTCAGATCATTCGATATGGACCAATCTTTCACAGCTATAGAAAAAAACTAGAAAATGGGAATTTAGTCGAGATAAAAAAACACACACACACACACACACACACACACACACACACACACACACACACACACACACACACACACACACACACACACACACACGGCATCGATGCAAGGCGAGCAGATTAAGGGTCAGTGTTTCTTCCAAGGACTCCAGCCTTACCAGCAGCAACATTTAAATGACATACATTAGATATTCCTCCCAAATCGGATGTTGATCAGGGTCTTTTCCCAGGACACTTCCACACAGGGGTCGGGGGGTCGGGGTTTTGGAACCGCTGACCTTCTGCTGCACCTCGCTGACCTTCTGCTGCACCCCGCTGACCTTCTGCTGCACCCCGCTGACCTTCTGCTGCACCCCGCTGACCTGCACCCCGCTGACCTTCTGCTGCACCTCGCTGACCTTCTGCTGCACTCCGCTGACGTTCTGCTGCACCCCGCTGACCTTCTGCTCCACCCCGCTGACCTTCTGCTGCACCCCGCTGACCTTCTGCTGCACCCCGCTGACCTTCTGCTCCACCCCGCTGACCTTCTGCTCCACCCCGCTGACCTTCTGCTGCACTCCGCTGACCTTCTGCTCCACCCCGCTGACCTTCTGCTCCACCCTGCTGACCTTCTGCTGCACCCCGCTGACCTTCTGCTGCACCCCGCTGACCTTCTGCTCCACCTCGCTGACCTTCTGCTCCACCTCGCTGTGTTTTTTCTCCGAGTTGATCCGTGACTGAAGATTACAATTTGAAGGGTTTCGTTAATTCAAAATCATTACTTGCGATTAAAAGCAACTTTTCTGTGAGGAGACATCGTGAGTCGTGTGGTGGGTTTGTAGGAAGGTCCTCCTGCTAAGGCTGTCCGAATTGAAGTGGCTCCTATAGACGCGAACATGCAGGAAGTGTGGGTCCTTACGTTGAAAAGAAGGCATTTTGTGGAGTCTTCAGGCACTCCCTCTTTCCAGCCTCATCTTGGTCTTCAGACCCAGAGCTGCTTCTCTTTAGACACTTTAGGACCCAGGATCTTAATCGACTGTAAGTCCTTTTCATCCAGCGGTTTGTTTGGATGCAGGAAAGCTACTTTTTGCAGCGTCTTGCTTCTGTCTCCGAGGGTTTTGGTCAGACTCTTCTGTAGAGGAGACACAGGAAGCAGTGCAGGTGAGACACGTGCAGTCAGAGAAGCCGTAAACACGGTGAATGTTGTGTGACCACTTACGTAGCTGATGAGGAAAATTAAAAGTGCAAGCAGCAGCACCACTGAGGCGAAGATCACCAGGTAGGCGTCTGTCATTTCGGTGGGACCGTCTGTGGGACAATCTGAACATGAAGATTAAAGTTACTTCAGTTCATGCATGACATAAAACAAAACAAGATGAGAGCTTTGTGAACGCCACGTTGGGAATCTGCGGGTTCAAGAGCAGCTCAAGAGTCCAAAGAGATACAATGATTTAAACCAAGACGAATAAGCTTTATACACATTTGATCACATGGTGGAACCGTGTTCTATGGGTTTTAGTGCATGTAAATGGTCTGCAGAGGCTACAATCCCTGTTTCCTCCAGAGGGAGTTTCTCTTCTCTTCCCCTCTATCTCCCTCTTTCTCCCTCTTTCAAACCTACCTGTGTGTCCTCTTCCAACATGAGAGTAACGTGATAACAAAGGTATCCCAACTGTAGCTGTGAACATGACAGGATGTGTGATGACCTAGAAGAGCATCAGGACTGTTTGAGGCAGATGATAGCTATGTGATTAACATGATGATTCAGCCTCTATGGAGAGAGACATCAAGCATGCTCATTTCTGACGTGGAGCTAATCTGAAGTAAACATTGAATACTGCTTTCTATTCCTCCATCTTGTGACTGTGTAACTCCCTCTCTTGGATATCAGCATGTGAAGGACACTGTTCAGGAACTAGTTGATGCTCTGTATGTGATGACTCCTTCCATTCTGGAGAGGATCACAGGTACATGGATCCTGAGATTGAAGCTCACGCCGGGGACCAGGGAGAGTTCTCTAACACTGTGTCATAATGGCTAAATTGGATCAAAAAATAATGTTTTAAATAACAAAAACTAATCTGCGTTATGAGTGTTTTTACCTGTGAGGGTGAGGGTCACCTGCCCCTCCCGGTTCTGCTGCCCCACCGGCCCCGCCAGGTGACAGGTGTACGTGCCGCGGTCTGAGCAGGTGACGTTGGGCAGGACGATGTCTCTGGTTCCCCCCTGCAGGTCCATCTCCCGCTGCACGCCCACGTACCATTGGGTCGGCCCGTTGGGGAGCTTTCTGCTCAGAAGGCCCGAGAGACCAGGGTCCGGAGCGTCTGAGACCTGAAGAGGAGGGAAGTAGTGGAGTTCAAATACTTTGTTACTCTACTTAAGTACATGTTTCTGGTATCAGTACTTTACTCCACTACTTACTTTTCTGACAACTTTTGACTTCTTACATTTTGAACTCAAATACCTGTACTTTCTACTTCTTACATGTTGAACACAAATACCTGTACTTTCTACTTCTTACATGTTGAACACAAATACCTGTACTTTCTACTTCTCACATGTGAACTCAAATACCTGTACTTTCTACTTCTCACATGTTGAACTCAAATACCTGTACTTTCTACTTCTTACATGTTGAACTCAAATACCTGTACTTTCTACTTCTTACATGTTGAACCCAAATACCTGTACTTTCTACTTCTTACATGTTGAACCCAAATACCTGTACTTCTTACATGTTGAACTCAAATACCTGTACTTTCTACTTCTTACATGTTGAACTCAAATACCTGTACTTTCTACTTCTTACATTTTGAACACAAATACCTGTACTTTCTACTTCTTACATGTTGAACACAAATACCTGTACTTTCTACTTCTTACATGTTGAACCCAAATACCTGTACTTTCTACTTCTTACATTTTGAACTCAAATACCTGTACTTTCTACTTCTTACATGTTGAACTCAAATACCTGTACTTTCTACTTCTCACATGTTGAACACAAATACCTGTACTTTCTACTTCTTACATGTTGAACTCAAATACCTGTACTTTCTACTTCTTACATGTTGAACAGAAATACCTGTACTTTCTACTTCTTACATGTTGAACACAAATACCTGTACTTTCTACTTCTTACATGTTGAACACAAATACCTGTACTTTCTACTTCTTACATGTTGAACACAAATACCTGTACTTTCTACTTCTTACATGTTGAACACAAATACCTGTACTTTCTACTTCTCACATGTTGAACTCAAATACCTGTACTTTCTACTTCTTACATGTTGAACCCAAATACCTGTACTTTCTACTTCTTACATGTTGAACTCAAATACCTGTACTTTCTACTTCTTACATGTTGAACTCCAATACCTGTACTTTCTACTTCTTACATGTTGAACAGAAATACCTGTACTTTCTACTTCTTACATGTTGAACTCAAATACCTGTACTTTCTACTTCTCACATGTTGAACCCAAATACCTGTACTTTCTACTTCTCACATGTTGAACTCAAATACCTGTACTTTCTACTTCTTACATGTTGAACTCAAATACCTGTACTTTTTACTTCTCACATGTTGAACCCAAATACCTGTACTTTCTACTTCTTACATGTTGAACTCAAATACCTGTACTTTCTACTTCTTACATGTTGAACAGAAATACCTGTACTTTCTACTTCTTACATGTTGAACAGAAATACCTGTACTTTCTACTTCTCAACATGTTGAACTCAAATACCTGTACTTTCTACTTCTTACATGTTGAACTCAAATACCTGTACTTTCTACTTCTTACATGTTGAACACAAATACCTGTACTTTCTACTTCTTACATGTTGAACTCAATACCTGTACTTCTACTTCTCACATGTTGAACTCAAATACCTGTACTTTCTACTTCTTACATGTTGAACACAAATACCTGTACTTTCTACTTCTTACATGTTGAACTCAAATACCTGTACTTTCTACTTCTTACATGTTGAACTCAAATACCTGTACTTTCTACTTCTTACATGTTGAACTCAAATACCTGTACTTTCTACTTCTTACATGTTGAACTCAAATACCTGTACTTTCTACTTCTCACATGTTGAACTCAAATACCTGTACTTTATACTTCTTACATGTTGAACTCAAATACCTGTACTTTCTACTTCTTACATGTTGAACTCAAATACCTGTACTTTCTACTTCTCACATGTTGAACTCAAATACCTGTACTTTATACTTCTTACATGTTGAACTCAAATACCTGTACTTTCTACTTCTTACATGTTGAACTCAAATACCTGTACTTTCTACTTCTTACATGTTGAACTCAAATACCTGTACTTTCTACTTCTCACATGTTGAACTCAAATACCTGTACTTTCTACTTCTCACATGTTGAACCCAAATACCTGTACTTTCTACTTCTTACATGTTGAACACAAATACCTGTACTTTCTACTTCTTACATGTTGAAACACAAATACCTGTACTTTCTACTTCTCACATGTTGAACTCAAATACCTGTACTTTCTACTTCTCACATGTTGAACCCAAATACCTGTACTTTCTACTTCTTACATGTTGAACTCAAATACCTGTACTTTCTACTTTCTTACATGTTGAACTCAAATACCTGTACTTTCTACTTCTCACATGTTGAACCCAAATACCTGTACCTTCTACTTCTTACATGTTGAACTCAAATACCTGTACTTTCTACTTCTTACATGTTGAACTCAAATACCTGTACTTTCTACTTCTTACATGTTGAACTCAAATACCTGTACTTTCTACTTCTCACATGTTGAACCCAAATACCTGTACTTTCTACTTCTCACATGTTGAACCCAAATACCTGTACTTTCTACTTCTTACATGTGAACTCAAATACCTGTACTTCTACTTCTTACATGTTGAACTCAAATACCTGTACTTTCTACTTCTTACATGTTGAACTCAAATACCTGTACTTTCTACTTCTTACATGTTGAACACAAATACCTGTACTTTCTACTTCTTACATGTTGAACTCAAATACCTGTACTTTCTACTTCTTACATGTTGAACTCAAATACCTGTACTTTCTACTTCTCACATGTTGAACACAAATACCTGTACTTTCTACTTCTTACATGTTGAACTCAAATACCTGTACTTTCTACTTCTCACATGTTGAACTCAAATACCTGTACTTTCTACTTCTTACATGTTGAACTCAAATACCTGTACTTTCTACTTCTTACATGTTGAACTCAAATACCTGTACTTTCTAACTTCTTACATGTTGAACACAATACCTGTACTTCTACTTCTTACATGTTGAACCCAAATACCTGTACTTTCTACTTCTTACATGTTGAACTCAAATACCTGTACTTTCTACTTCTCACATGTTGAACCCAAATACCTGTACTTTCTACTTCTTACATGTTGAACACAAATACCTGTACTTTCTACTTCTTACATGTTGAATTCAAATACCTATACTTTCTACTTCTCACATGTTGAACCCAAATACCTGTACTTTCTACTTCTTACATGTTGAACTCAAATACCTGTACTTTCTACTTCTTACATGTTGAACCCAAATACCTGTACTTTCTACTTCTTACATGTTGAACCCAAATACCTGTACGTTCTACTTCTTACATGTTGAACTCAAATACCTGAACTTTCTACTTCTCACATGTTGAACTCAAATACCTGTACTTTCTACTTCTTACATGTTGAACTCAAATACCTGTACTTTCTACTTCTCACATGTTGAACTCAAATACCTGTACTTTCTACTTCTTACATGTTGAACTCAAATACCTGAACTTTCTACTTCTCACATGTTGAACTCAAATACCTGTACTTTCTACTTCTTACATGTTGAACACTAATACCTGTACTGCAACACAGAAATGCTCTCATGTAGAAAAACAGGATCATATTATACATCATAATATAATACTGTGAAAAGATCCATTCTGGTTAACCAGTACTTTCACTTTTGATACTTGATTCAGCTGATAATACTTCTGTACTTCATATTATTCTGAAATGGGCCATTGTGAATGAGTCATATTACTTTTTGTAAACTTTAAGTATGTTTTGATGCTAGTACATGTTTACATGCTAGTACATGTTTTGATGCTAGTACATTTTCTAATTCAGGACTTTTACTTGTAATCGAGTATTTTAAGACCATAGTATTTGTACTTGTACTAAAAGTACAGGATCTGGGTACTTCTTCAAACACTGGTAACAAGCTTTAACACATCACATGAACTGCTTATATGATATACTGCAGTACTGTACTGCTAATCTACCAAGTATCTAAATATACGATCTGAATATAATACTGTGAAAAGCGCCAATTTGCATACTTTTCTGATATTTCAAGTACATTAAGCTGATATTACTTCTATACTAATTTAAAACCACAGTATTTCTAATTGTACTTAAGTAAAGGATCAGACTTCTCACTTCACTGAAAACGATACTGAAAGTTAAGCTTTATTTGAATCAGCCAATCAGAAGAGGACATCTATCCTTCATACTTGTTGAATCATTTGCAGATTAGAAAACACTGCGGTATTTACCTTGTACCATCTCACTGCAAGGTACTGGACTCCAGGCGTGTACCGAGCCGTGCACTGAAGGGTGCAGTTCGCAGAAACCACAGATCTGACCTCCAACGATTCCTCTTCAACTGCCAGGGTCCACAAACCTGAAGAACACGCACACACACACACACACACACACACACACACACACACACACACACACACACACACACACACACACACTACACACACACACACACACACACACACACACACTACCCACACACACACAACACCACACACACACACACACACCACACCACACACACACACAACACCCACACAACACACACAACACACACACACACACACACACACACACACACCACACACACACACACACCACACACACACACACACACACACACACACACACACACACACACACACACACACACACACACAATACATTAATGTTTTCAGTTTATTAAACCTGCAATACGAACACTATCTTAATTATCTCCCACTGGACAGATATATATCCAGAAGTGCAAAGCCTCAAAGTCACTGCAAATAAACATTTGTATCACTACGGTTAGGGTTTCGCATATTATTTTTCCTTTAATATGATGCCTTGTGCAAAGTGCAAAGTAAAAATAGCTATTTCATTCTTCCTGTAGTCCCACTCCCTACTCATGAGTATCACGTAATCCTTGTTTACGTGTTAGCTGCAGCGCAATCATTTCGAGAACTGTGCATGAAGTGGGACGTTAGTAGTAAGGATTGAACTTTGTATACAGCCTATGGGATTGAAGGATGAAACAACAGGCTACTCACACAGGGAGAGAAGAAGAGACAGGCTCAGGATCTGTCGAGTCATGGTGATGTTTGGAGAAGGAGTCCGTTTGAGAGATGTTTATGAGTTTCGCTCTTGTCTTTATATATCCAACCCAGATTAGAAATACACGCCCACGTGGCCACACGGTGCTACTACAGCTTCCTCATTTATAATTGAGAATGACACTGTAAATATGTACATAATTTTTTTTAAAGCTAAATTAACCACCCAGCATGAACACTTGTATAGTCCCGATTTTAGCGTTTAAAAGTGCGCTAAAATCCAAGTAATTTTCTAACTGATAACTGGACTTTTTTCTTTATTTTTTATATTTAATTTATATGCCATTTATTGTACATTTAATGTAAATAATATCCTCCTTTTAAATTGTGTAAGCTCTAATTTTTCAGATAGTCCACATATTTGTATCTTTCACTGTCGACATGTATATATTTTATTTCTTAGTGCTGTTTAATTTTCTATTTTATGTGTGTTTATTTTTAAACAGTTTTTATTGTTTTAAGTGCAATGCCTTTGTTTTAACAAGCTGCTGTGATGAACACATGTCCCTTTTTGGGATCAATAAAGTGTATATCTATTTATCCAGTAATTTCCTCGGGGTTTAAGGGAACCTCCACTGCGCATGTGCCCAGTCATAACAAAGATCTATACAGAAAGAAACAGACGGGAGGAGACCATCACTAGACTCAGACTGGATCAGGATTAAACGCACAATGTTTTTAAATGGAAAAAGCGAATTTGAAGAATACAGGGGGTGTGGAGTGAAAGAAAATGTGGAACACATCATATTACACTGTAACATGTACAAAACAGAGAGGGAACAACTAAGAGACAGGGTCAGAGAGGCAGGAAGGGAGTGGAGCCTGATGGGGACACTGGGAACAGAAGGTGAGGGGGTAAGAGCTACCAGGGAGGCCATTCTTAAGTATTTGAGTGAAACAGGATTGATTGGAAGAATTTAAAACAACGTAAATACAGTGATAGGCTATAATTCCACAAGTGGTGACAGGATGACACTCTTGTGCAGTAGGTGGCGGTATGCAGCTTAAAGTGGTTTGCAATCCGCCAAAAACCGAGAGAAGAAGAAGAAGAACATCCAGGAAACTTGAGTGGACGCCGGTGTATCGATCATTTTATAATTGAACGCAGGAAGATAATATCCAACATGAATATGATCAGCACTCCCAGGATACTTTCAGGTATGAATGAATGACCTTCAGCGTTGCTCTGTGCTAGAGAGCGGATACAACGATGTTACGGTATACATGTCTAGATTAAAAAAGTAGGGTTTCCGTCCAAAAAGAAGATTACTGATTGGTTTATTATTATTTATTTATTATTAAGTTATTAATAAAATATACAAAATGAAATACAAATATGTGTATGGTTTGTCAACACTGCAAGCTAACTTTATCATAACAAACTGCTGTATCATTATGGCGTTTAGTCAACATTGAGCAACGGTAAGGTCGGAAAGTACCGGGGCGGGGCCCATTGAGCATGCGCAGTGGAGTTTCCCCCTTCAGTCTCGTCTCCAGCTCTCTGTCAGTCAGATAAATGGAAAGAGAAAATACAAAGGGATTCAGCTTTTAGAGCATTTTACAACTTTTAGTCCCTAAAGATTTAAATAAGGGCTATACAAATGTTCGTGCTGGGTGGTTGATTTATTTCCCCCTAAAATACCCGGTGGTTTACAGTCATAGATAATGAATGGGCTGAAACTAAAGCGTCACATGGGATTCCCCGGGATTTCCCAGCACGAGGAGCGGTTCACTAGAAACCTGACTCTTCAGAGAAATTTGGAAAAACCCACTGCGGTATTTCTTTAGAGCTTGATAAAGTTTGTTTTGAATAACACAAAAGGGAGGCTGCTAATGCTTGTCAGACCACATGAAAACAAAAAGCAGAGGTGGTACATTTACTCAAGTACTGTACTTACTCAACTACATATATTTAATACCTTATTTTACAGATGTGGATGAATGATGTGAAATATAACCAAGTGTTGAATCAGACTTTAGTTCCACCTGGAGTAAATCCACCAGCTACCCTGCAGTATACAAAGTTATTCAGACTAGCTGCACCTTCACCAGCTTTGAGAACACTTTCATGATCAATCATTATAAAACATATCATATATATTATTCTGAAATGGACCAATCTGCACAACGACTACTTTCACTGTCGCTACTTTCACTATATTTTGATGAGAATACTTTCCTACTTTCACTTGAGGAACATTTTGAATGCAGGACTTTTACTGTGACAGAGTATTCCTACACTCTGGTACTTCTACTTTTACTCAAGTACAAGACCTGAGTACTTCTACTTTTACTCAAGTACAAGATCTGAGTACTTCTACTTTCACTTAAGTACAATATCTGAGTACTTCTACTTTTACTCAAGTACAAGATCTGAGTACTTCTACTTTTACTCAAGTACAGGATCTGAGTACTTCTACTTTTACTCAAGTACGAGATCTGAGTACTTCTTCTTTTACTCAAGTACAAGATCTGAGTACTTCTACTTTTCCTCAAGTACAAGATCTGAGTACTTCTACTTTTACTCAAGTACAAGATCTGAGTACTTCTACTTTTACTCAAGTACAACATCTGAGTACTTATACTTTCACTCAAGTACAAGATCTGAGTACTTCTACTTTTCCTCAAGTACAAGATCTGAGTACTTCTACTTTTACTCAAGTACAACATCTGAGTACTTATACTTTCACTCAAGTACAAGATCTGAGTACTTCTACTTTTACTCAAGTACAAGATCTGAGTACTTCTACTTTTACTCAAGTACAAGATCTGAGTACTTCTTCTTTTACTCAAGTACAAGATCTGAGTACTTCTACTTTTACTCAAGTACAAGATCTGAGTACTTCTACTTTTACTCAAGTACAAGATCTGAGTACTTCTACTTTTACTCAAGTACAAGATCTGAGTACTTCTACTTTTACTCAAGTACAAGATCTGAGTACTTCTACTTTTACTCAAGTACAAGATCTGAGTACTTCTACTTTTACTCAAGTACAAGATACTTCTCCCACCTCTGAAGAAAAGTAAAAAAACACAAAACCAATATTCTGTAAAACGTGTTTTTCTGCACTCCTGATTCTAGATAGTTTTTGAGAGGACAGAAGCAAAGTAGACGATGACAACTGTGGTTTAACATTCACACTAATACTAATACATACAAATATATAACCTGACAATAATGTATTTTCTTTTTCATTGGCAGTCTTGGCTGTTGTGGGGCTTCTGGATGGATCAGCGGTGAATACGCTCCCATCTCCTTTCTCCTGCTGTCCAGACGCCACACTCACATATGAACCACACTGTGAAACCACATTCATCCTCAATGACAAGGTGAACATAATATTTAATCTGAATGTAAACTCCCACCAGACAACTGCCCTGTTTTCAGTCTTTTTTATATATATATTACAAAAAGTCAATCAGAACTGTTTGTCTACAACAGTAAAATGCTACTTGTTACCTATACCTGTTTCTACAAAAAATGTCACGTATTTAAATATCATTATATTTTTTTTACTTGTTATACTTTAATTACATTTAGTTGATAATACCTTTCTGCTTTTACTCAACTATGAATAGAAAAGGACTTTTATTTTGACAATTGTGTATTGGTACTTCTACTCAAGTAAAGCCTCTGAACACTTCTCCCACCTCCTGGTTCCTTCTTGCAGAACTTTGCCACGTCCGCTCATGGGGAGAGCGAGTGCATCGCTCCGTGCACAGAGATGAGAGATGGACGGATGAAGCTGACAGGATGTCCCAATGTGACAGCTCGCATCGTGTGTAAAGACGTAGGTCAACACTTTCTGATATTTTGTATTAGTATCTGTATCGAGCCCCTGAGGCACGTGGGAACCTTAATTTTCACTCTTGTATTGACAGGAGAACAACAGGCTTGAGGAGAAAAAGACCCAGTATATTGGAGACCTCTGCGCGGCTGTAAGATCCAACAGCATGGAGCGTGGGCATCATTGTGAGTCTCCTTTTATTTACCTGCAGGCTAATTATTTAAAACTCTCAGAAAGGGACTCAAACCAAAAATAAGTAAATAAGTAAACTTAGTCATAATATGCTACAGTTACACCGCTAGCTAAAGGAGGCTAATGTTGGGCTAAAAAGGAACTACAGCACGGTCACATGACTTCACGTCACCACCGCTAAGCTAAAGGTGGCTAATGTTGGGCTATAAAGGAACTACAGCACGGTCACATGACTTCACGTCACCACCGCTAAGCTAAAGGTGGCTAATGTTGGGCTAAAAAGGAACTACAGCACGTTCACATGACTTCACGTCACCACCGCTAAGCTAAAGGTGGCTAATGTTGGGCTATAAAGGAACTACAGCATGGTCACATGACTTCACGTCACCACCGCTAAGCTAAAGGTGGCTAATGTTGGGCTATAAAGGAACTACAGCATGGTCACATGACTTCACGTCACCACTGCTGAGCTAAAGGTGGCTAATGTTGGGCTATAAAGGAACTACAGCACGGTCACATGACTTCACATCACCACCGCTAAGCTAAAGGTGGCTAATGTTGGGCTATAAAGGAACTACAGCATGGTCACATGACTTCACGTCACCACTGCTAAGCTAAAGGTGGCTAATGTTGGGCTATAAAGGAACTACCGCACGGTCACATGACTTCACGTCACCACTGCTAAGCTAAAGGAGGCTAATGTTGGGCGTGATGGCGTCTAGTCGTCTCATTTAGACACTTCACCAGTGGGGTAATTAATTACAGACCTTATTTAAGGCTAAAAACCAAAAACAAACCTTCAGAAGAGGGAACAGGAAGTGGTAAAATGCTGATTCATCTCTGGGTTTAGGAAGACTCATTCCTGCACCTCTATTGCACCCTTTTTGTTTGAATGTGATCATAAATATGAGATAATGCATGATAGAACTTTACAGCTTAGCGAAAAAAGTAGGTTTTCTACAATGTGGATTTCTTAACACTTGGACCAGTTGTGAGATAATGTTCTCTTTTTCTTTTGGCTGCAGGTTGGGTTGTCTTCCTGCCGTTGGCCGTGCTGATCGCTGCATTGTGTAGTGCATAAAGGAAACAAATGGAAACCAGCTGATACTTTCGTGATGCTGTTTTTGGTGGTATGGTTTTTAGGGTCCTCTAAAACTTCCGTCCTCTGCACTTTATTAGTAGATTTTAGTATAAATGTCTAAATATATTTACATAGGAATATAAATGGAGTCTTCCCGGTATTCATTGCCTCGTCATGCAGTGTCATGAAGACAGTGTCTGACCATCATGAATGTCTATTTTTTGTACTTTAATAATATTTTCTACAGAAGCCTCAATATTGCACATCAGTTTTAGTCTCTCATTGTTACATAACATGTCTACGGTGATCAGGAAGATATATCATGCAACTAATCATTTCATGTACTCCTCAGGGCTGTATTTACTTAAAACCCACAAAAAGCATTCCAGTTATTATTTAAGACACAACCATTCAGGTTCCTTTTATATCAAAAATACTGCCGCCCTTTTGTTTACTTTTTGTACCAATTCAATCAGTGTCATCTCTAGTATTTGACTTTATTTTTTGTATTACTTTAAACACTGTAAAATGTTCCCCTCTTGTGTGTAAGTGTGTCCAGTCTGAAATGTACCTGACGGAAAGTCAAAGAGTGTCGTAGCAGGAAAGAGCATCTGATTGGTTAGCACACACTAGCTTTAAAGCCAGTAAAAGTACAAAATTACAAGTGAGATTGTATTTTTATATTTCTGTAGTCCTGAAGGAACTCGATCAAAAGTCAGATGGTAAAATGGTAGCAAAGACTCAGTATTGTTAAACCCTGTTTATTTATATTGTTTTTGTATGCTCCATTTTGATGTTAAAGCCAAAAATACTAATAAGCCATTTTCTCTCTTTATGGTAATATTTTACCTGCACTTTTACAAAACTACCTCTTCTTTTACATAATTACTAACTTCACCTTCTTTATTTCATCTCCTGCTATCACTTAGAAAATAGTGTCTTATGAAAGTCCCAAACTCTGGAGCTTTCTTTCATACCCAACCAAACAATACTGTTAGATATAAATGAATGTTCCACAACGACTAACACTGTAACAGCTACTGCAAGGTACAAGCTAACGAGCTGTTGCTATGGTAACGATGCTTTTTCTGTTTCTGTTTTCACTGATAACGTGTTTGGTTTAATTTCTAAAAATTAGTTCTCAAAGTCCAAAAGATTGCTGCTAAATCCGTCGAAAAATGTGACTTGTGACAAATGAATAATGTGAAAACTGCCACACACACAAAAACACAAAGCTCAAGATTGTTTCACTGCATAGTATTTTTCTATCTTGATCTGTTTTAATCTTTAATTGCTCTAAAAAGTATTGTACTGTAAGCCATGATAAAACCTCGACATTTCCTCCGGTTGAGACCAAAGCTTTTGTGTCTTCTGTGAAGCGAGCTGTAATAAAATGTTTTCCAGAAATGGTCCTTGCAATTTGTTTCATCATTTATCCAAATAACAATGTGTGGTTTGTATTTTTTGTGATGAATTAGTTCGTACAATTATTTAAATGCATGCTATTTTTGGTTGTTGAACAGGGTGTCCGCGGGGTCTTAAAAAGTATTAAAAATTGATAAAACAATTTAGCGAAAATGAAAGCTATTCAAAAGTATTACAAAGTATTAAACGGCATTTTCCAAGGTATTACATTTTGTAGCTTGTTTTCAATAAGTATATAAATTGTATTCTACAGTTTGCCTGAATGTAATCATTGCGTAAGCAGGGCCGGCCCTAGACTTATGGGGGCCCTAAGCGAGCTTTGGCTTGGCCCCCCCCCTCGCGTTCTCACTACACACAACACGAAACCAACTTTTGTCTTATGATGTTAGCATAAGCACACATATTGTATAAATAACCATGTAAACACCGTGGACCTAACCTCCTCTCGGGGAGTTTATTTTTCTAGATGTTTCATCAGTTATTAATAAATCAATAGTTTAAAGTCTTATCATGCTATTTTTAGGCAATAGCATAGGTCTCAGATATATGAAAATATATATATGTCTATGAAGTGTTTTGCTCAAAATACCAAACAGATCACCCATTCTAGCCATGCCTCATATCCCTCTATTTCACTTCCTGTTTCAAAAGTGCTGATTTTGGGATACAGCTTAAAAAAAAAAAAAAGATTGATAAAGGAGGGGTCTGAGCTCATGCGGGACCCGGCAGCTACTGTCTAAACTAAATACTGTCGTGATGAAACGCCATATCATGGATTATCAAGGATTCTCTCTGAAACAGTCTGGAGCTCAAAGGCTTTCTCTCTTGCCGGTTATACCACAAGGTGAGTTCCTTTTTACTTCCTGCTTCTTCACACACATGCTCTCCGGTACAGGTTAGCTCTGAGCGTTAGCGATGCTAATGTAAACACCGACCATATTATGTCCAAATCAGTCGGGCATTGTTTCTGATGGCAACTTTCTGATAGGCCCGTGGGTCCACATTTCAGATATTACGTCATATCGGACGCAAATCTTGATCAGCTCCGTTGAAGCCCCGTTTTTAGAGATTTGGGTACGGAGGAAAAGAGAGAGGGTTTTATTTTCTGATACTGCGTGAGTTCTCCGACACACCGGGGACACATCTTTATGTATAAAAGACATCAGAAAGTGCATTTTGCATGATAGGTCCCCTTTAATTAATCTGACGGGTAAAGTCATCTTGTCAAACACATGCACATGATAATCAGATTTAACTTTATTTTGAAAGCTTGATAATCACAATGCATGGTCATTTAGTGAATCAGAAATATGGAACCAAAAAATCCTTATTTTGAACAAATAGATCCGTGGTGACAAAAAGACTCAGATTTAAAAACAGACATTTAAAGATCACACTACATGTATTTGAGATACTTTACAACATATTTACATAGCACTTTGAATTCTTTGTTTGTTTTTTTTTACACTGATGCAAAAACTCAACCGAAGGATTCAGTTGTGAATCATTACGAGTTTTAATGAAACACACATCACAGACGTCTTTGTTCCTGGTTAAAGCTGTAACAGTTTGACGATCTTTATAAAATAAAGAACCTCCTAAATCAGTGTCCGGGTCGGATGTAAAAGTATTTTCTTATTTAGTTCCTGCAAAGTTTCCCATTACTTACCAAATCTGCCACCAAGTGGAGTGCCTCAGGGTTCTATCCTCGGTCCTCTGACATTTTCTGTTTGTCTGATTTATCTCTCCTGTCGTGTTTCATCAATCATAACTATTGTGTTTTACATTTGATTGCTTCAAGGCCTTATGATGTCCAACACAGTAGGTACAGTATGTGAACATATAAAACTGCTGATCACCACTTTCATTGAATTTTGAGTTGTTCCCGGCCAAAAATGACCCCCATTGGAAATGAATGGGTAACTCTAGATCTCATGAACACGACAGGAGGGTTAAACCCAGCTCTCTGACCTTCTTCGTGTGTTCATCGCTCGTGTTCATATGTTATATGAAGTTAGCGGCCCTTTCACCAGACCCTGCTCTTTGCGCGACACCGGCGCATGAATGCTGCAGTCCCGCGCCTCGCAAATTCCCGGCACTCCTGCGATCCCGAATATTCCCAACTGACCGACAGCACCAGGGAATCCTCGGGGACCTTGAGGACCCTCCATGCCGTTCTTGGGTTCTGCGGGGTGACCGTGCAAACCTGCGGAGGAGAAATTACAAAATGAAGGCGCCTGTAGAAGCCTGGTATTTATTTATACAAGAGGGTGGAAAAGAGGCAGCACATTATTATGTATTTTGTTTAACTAGAAGCAAGTATACAATCCAATCAAAAAGAAAACAGTAGAGTTTTCAAATAAAACAAAAGGGGAAAAAGTGTAAGAGGCCCAATTCTGCTTTTTGGGTTTTCCTTTTCGTATAATGTGTTACATATATGTTTCAGTGCATGTAAATGGTCTGCAAAGGCTAAAATCCCTGTGTTTCCTCAACAGAGAGTTTCAATTTGAATGAACTGTTTTAATCATGGTAAAGATCCAACATTTTCTACCACAGAAACGAAACTGGCTGTTTTGCCAGCCTTGCGGTGACAAAGAGCCAATCGCTTATCATTTGAATGCATCTCCAAGTTTTGAATTATTGCGTGAAACTAAAGGGCGTCTCACCTCTGATGCCTTGTGGTCCGTCGGGTCCCGGCAGGCCTTTACCTGCATCACCTGCACGGGCTTTACCTCCCTTTTGACCTGTTGACAAATACACAGTTTCAAGAACAAAGCTGCAAAACTACAGACCTTTATTGAGAATAAACATTTCCCTTTTGACCTGAAAAACACACAAAACAAAAAGTGTGAAAAGCTACAAAACTAAAGATGAGTGTGTGTGTAGGTAGTCCAAAATATATTTTATATTAAAAAGTTGTTCTGTATGTATGAAAATGTGATTTACCTCTGTCTCCTTGCGCTCCTTTCTGTCCCTCCAGTCCTCGGTCACCTTGAGCTCCTCTCCCTCCTTTAGATCCCACTTTCCCGGCTTTTCCCTGATGGGAAGAGAAGGAAGACATGGTGTCCAATTACACCTTACTTCAGGACGCACTGGAAATCACTTATGGTGCGATTAACAATGCGATCAGTATTCTCGTGTCTTCCCTGTGTGTCGCACTCCAAAATGATCCTCTCAAATGTCGGTCACCAAAGAGGAATACAGGAAGTGTTTCAAAGTGTTTTCCAATAAGCAGGAATTAATTTATTCTCTGTATTACCGTATGGTTTTCCATTGGTCCCTCTTCTTTAGAGAAGACCAGGAAATGATGGATACACGGATCGTGTTCAAATCAATAGGCACGCAATGACTCTAAAGAATAATGATCACGCATCAAACACACATTCAGACTAAAGGAACCAGCTGTTTGGAAAATGAGAGAAGTAGAAAGTACAGGTATTTGAGTTCAACATGTAAGAAGTAGAAAGTACAGGTATTTGAGTTCAACATGTAAGAAGTAGAAAGTACAGGTATTTGAGTTCAACATGTGAGAAGTAGAAAGTACAGGTATTTGAGTTCAACATGTAAGAAGTAGAAAGTACAGGTATTTGAGTTCAACATGTAAGAAGTAGAAAGTACAGGTATTTGTGTTCAACATGTAAGAAGTAGAAAGTACAGGTATTTGTGTTCAACATGTGAGAAGTAGAAAGTACAGGTATTTGTGTTCACATGTAAGAAGTAGAAAGTACAGGTATTTGGGTTCAAGATGTAAGAAGTAGAAAGTACAGGTATTTGTGTTCAACATGTAAGAAGTAGAAAGTACAGGTATTTGGGTTCAAGATGTAAGAAGTAGAAAGTACAGGTATTAGTGTTCAAAATGTAAGAAGTAGAAAGTACAGGTATTTGGGTTCAAGATGTAAGAAGTAGAAAGTACAGGTATTTGAGTTCAACATGTGAGAAGTAGAAAGTACAGGTATTTGAGTTCAACATGTAAGAAGTAGAAAGTACAGGTATTTGGGTTCAACATGTAAGAAGTAGAAAGTACAGGTATTGAGTTCAACATGTGAGAAGTAGAAAGTACAGGTATTTGAGTTCAACATGTAAGAAGTAGAAAGTACAGGTATTTGGGTTCAACATGTAAGAAGTAGAAAGTACAGGTATTTGGGTTCAACATGTAAGAAGTAGAAAGTACAGGTATTTGGGTTCAACATGTAAGAAGTAGAAAGTACAGGTATTTGAGTTCAACATGTGAGAAGTAGAAAGTACAGGTATTTGGGTTCAACATGTAAGAAGTAGAAAGTACAGGTATTTGAGTTCAACATGTAAGAAGTAGAAAGTACAGGTATTTGGGTTCAACATGTAAGAAGTAGAAAGTACAGGTATTTGAGTTCAACATGTAAGAAGTAGAAAGTACAGGTATTTGTGTTCAACATGTAAGAAGTAGAAAGTACAGGTATTTGAGTTCAACATGTAAGAAGTAGAAAGTACAGGTATTTGGGTTCAACATGTAAGAAGTAGAAAGTACAGGTATTTGAGTTCAACATGTAAGAAGTAGAAAGTACAGGTATTTGGTTCAACATGTAGAAGTAGAAAGTACAGGTATTTGAGTTCAACATGTAAGAAGTAGAAAGTACAGGTATTTGAGTTCAACATGTAAGAAGTAGAAAGTACAGGTATTGAGTTCAACAGTGAGAAGTAGAAAGTACAGGTATTTGAGTTCAACATGTAAGAAGTAGAAAGTACAGGTATTTGAGTTCAACATGTAAGAAGTAGAAAGTACAGGTATTTGAGTTCAACATGTAAGAAGTAGAAAGTACAGGTATTTGTGTTCAACATGTAAGAAGTAGAAAGTACAGGTATTTGGGTTCAACATGTAAGAAGTAGAAAGTACAGGTATTTGTGTTCAACATGTAAGAAGTAGAAAGTACAGGTATTTGGGTTCAACATGTAAGAAGTAGAAAGTACAGGTATTTGAGTTCAACATGTGAGAAGTAGAAAGTACAGGTATTTGGGTTCAACATGTAAGAAGTAGAAAGTACAGGTATTTGAGTTCAACATGTAAGAAGTAGAAAGTACAGGTATTTGTGTTCAACATGTGAGAAGTAGAAAGTACAGGTATTTGTGTTCAACATGTAAGAAGTAGAAAGTACAGGTATTTGGGTTCAAGATGTAAGAAGTAGAAAGTACAGGTATTTGTGTTCAACATGTAAGAAGTAGAAAGTACAGGTATTTGGGTTCAAGATGTAAGAAGTAGAAAGTACAGGTATTAGTGTTCAAAATGTAAGAAGTAGAAAGTACAGGTATTTGGGTTCAAGATGTAAGAAGTAGAAAGTACAGGTATTTGAGTTCAACATGTGAGAAGTAGAAAGTACAGGTATTTGAGTTCAACATGTAAGAAGTAGAAAGTACAGGTATTTGGGTTCAACATGTAAGAAGTAGAAAGTACAGGTATTTGAGTTCAACATGTGAGAAGTAGAAAGTACAGGTATTTGAGTTCAACATGTAAGAAGTAGAAAGTACAGGTATTTGGGTTCAACATGTAAGAAGTAGAAAGTACAGGTATTTGGGTTCAACATGTAAGAAGTAGAAAGTACAGGTATTTGGGTTCAACATGTAAGAAGTAGAAAGTACAGGTATTTGAGTTCAACATGTAGAAGTAGAAAGTACAGGTATTGGGTTCAACATGTAAGAAGTAGAAAGTACAGGTATTTGAGTTCAACATGTAAGAAGTAGAAAGTACAGGTATTTGGGTTCAACATGTAAGAAGTAGAAAGTACAGGTATTTGAGTTCAACATGTAAGAAGTAGAAAGTACAGGTATTTGGGTTCAACATGTAAGAAGTAGAAAGTACAGGTATTTGAGTTCAACATGTAAGAAGTAGAAAGTACAGGTATTTGAGTTCAACATGTAAGAAGTAGAAAGTACAGGTATTTGAGTTCAACATGTAAGAAGTAGAAAGTACAGGTATTTGGGTTCAACATGTAAGAAGTAGAAAGTACAGGTATTTGAGTTCAACATGTAAGAAGTAGAAAGTACAGGTATTTGAGTTCAACATGTAAGAAGTAGAAAGTACAGGTATTTGAGTTCAAAATGTAAGAAGTCAAGGTAAAAATAAGTAGTGGAGTAAAGTACTGATACCAGAAAAATGTACTTAAGGAAGTATTTGTACTCCACTACTTCCCACATCTGATAATAATACAGGGACTCTTACAGTTTTTCCCGCTGACCCCAGGGGCCCCGTCCCCCCCGGGGGTCCGATGAGGGTCCGGTTGTTGATGGGGCAGCCCTGGGAGCACTTGGCCCGGATGGAGGAGGCGTACTGGGAGATCTGGGCGGTGACCACGCCTCTGCAGAGCTGAAGCACCTGCTCATCCGTCAGACCAGGACCCTGCAGACACAAACACCCTGTTGGAGCCAGTATTGAGCTTTTATAAGAAAGGCTACCTAATTGTGACGTCTGTAGTCAACACACTATAAAAGACTACAATTCCCACGGCGACAGTGATGGGCAGCAACCTGTCAGAAAGACGCCGTAGAGGAACCGTTTTTAACCGTCCAATTAGTTATTAAGTTATATAAGCGTTCCTGCAGAGGGAGTTTCTCTCCTCCCATAGCATCACAAAGTTCCTGGACAAAATCAATGGGTTTCCAATTGGAGTTCAGATTATAGCAGAACATAAGCTCTGCGGTTAACACACATTCATGATACTTAACAGCGTATATACTCAGCAGGATAACGTCCTCACATGAACGGTACTTTGTGCTTTCAGAAGCGTAGATGCAACGGCCAGAAGTACAAAGGTTAGGCTATAAACGAACTAAAGGCGGACTCATGTCGACAAAATTAAGTTTTCTAGAGACTCTCAGTCCCTTGTTAGGAACCGCTGTTATTTGATGACACATAGAAGCTGCTGACTTTCATGAGTTGAGTGGGGTATTTAAAGTCGTAGAACAACGTGTGGAATCTCTTCCGGTGCGTTACCCACAGACCTTATTTAAGGCATCTGAGCAAACACACGTTCAAAGAAACAATGATTCGAGACGAGGGAACAGGAAGTAGTACAATGTATTTCCGGGTTTTAAGACTTGTTTCTGCACCTCTCTATTGGACTCCTTCGTTTCCTTCCAAAACAATCTATAATATTTATTTAAACCCTTTTTTTCATGAACAATAAACAATATGATCATTGGATCGTATCGTATACTCACGGAGGGGCCTGGAGCTCCTTTAGGTCCCGCCTGGCCTCGAACACCGAGGTCTCCGAGCGCCCCGAGCTCTCCTCTGGTTCCCGGGAGCCCGGGGGGGCCGAGGGGCCCGGAGAGGCCGCTGCGCCCCACAGTTCCTCTAGGGCCACGCTGTTAGAGAACAGGGAGCGAAACAAAGGAGGAAAACCATTTTTAACTGGTGTTGTGAAAACACTGAGTGTCCTCTTCCAACATGAGAGTAACATGATAACAAAGGTATCAACTGTAGCTGTGAACATGACAGGATGTGTGATTACCTAGAAGAGCATCAGGACTGTTTGAGGCAGATGATAGCTATGTGATTAACATGATGATTCAGCCTCTATGGAGATAGACATCAAGCATGCTCATTTCTGACGTGGAGCTAATCTGAAGTAAACATTGAATACTGCTTTCTGTTCCTCCATCTTGTGACTGTGTAACTCCCTCTCTTGGATATCAGCATGTGAAGGACACTGTTCAGGAACTAGTTGATGCTCTGTATGTGATGACTCCTTCCATTCTGGAGAGGATCACAGATACATGGATCCTGAGGCTGAAGCTCAAGCCGGGGACGAGTGATAGTTCTCTAACAGCTGGTCTGTTGCATCCCACACATATCTGCACTATTACAATAAGCAGTACTTTATTTCACTGAACAGCATTCCATTCTATTTTAATATCAAGATTCAAAGGTTTTATTGTTTTCGGTCTTATTTATATATATTATTTTTGCACCGTTGAAGGAGCTTGGGACTTCCATTGCACATCGACCCCAGCTGTGAATATGACAATAAAGCCTTTGAACCTCTTATTTATTACACAGCTGTTTATCAATCTGTTCCTATCACCCAGGCTTTACATTGAGTATATCGGTTTGTTTTATACAATATAAAACCTTCTGTCTATCCATGTTACTTCTTTACATACACTCTACAAAGTATCATCATAATAGCCAATCAAACTTGTATTCATTTGATAAATAAGGATAACTAAGATGTCAAATATAACACAATTGAAAACCTGCTTTACTTATGGCCCTAAATATCTCTCTTTAAAGAGGGCTAGCCTGCCGTCGTGTGTCAGACCTTTTTGTCGATGATTTGGTCAAAGCAGAGCGTGTTGAGGAAACTGCATTAGTGTGTATTTCTATGACGTCAGGGTACATTATGAAGTAAATATAGTAAACACCTGTCCTTTGTCTCCACGGTCTCCCACGCCGCCCTGAAAGGAGGGAAAACAGACATCAGTGAAACCCGGCAGGTGTGGAGGAAGAGGAAGTGAACATATAACGGAGGAACAGTTTTATCATCAGATTGTAAAAACAAAATTACCTTTGGGGCTTTCACACCTTTGATGCCCTTCCTTCCCGCTGAGCCCTGCAGGGGACACACCCAGAGGAGGAAGACGGGTTATTTATCAGAATAACAGCATGTGATTGATTACAGTCTAGCAGCTCATAGAGTCCTGCTGTGAACCCGGAGATGCTGACACCAATGTTTTTATATTAGAAATGTATAGCAGGGTCTCCAGCGCATATGTTGGGACATTAGCACAAGTTGAGTAAATAGCATTAATTACCATTATAGCTTGGACAGTTTTGAGTGGTTTAGGGGGTTATTGAGGAGGCCGAGTCCATTTCTGACATTTCCAGGATCAAATAAGACAGATTTAACCAAAAATTGCAATGTTTGTACTCTTGGTGGACTCTTTTTGATTAATTTAGGGCACTCTGGATCATCTGGATTGGACAGATTTGAGAAAAGTGTCCACAGTAGATGTTATGATGTTCATCTGGTGCTCTCTATATCCAATGGTCGCAACACTTCTAGTTTCTTTAACTTGTGTGATGTTCTGCGAGCGGAGATGTGTGATTTCTGATTGCATGCGTTTACTTATTTCTCTGTGCTGCAGCACTTTGGTCTGGAGGTTTTAAAGTGCTTCACAGATGAAGTTGTATTTGATGGAATAATCTCTCACCGTCTCTCCATCGGGTCCGTTCTCACCTTTGGCTCCCTGGAAGACATTCAGGTTCAATTACTTTTTCATTTCAGATTAAAGTGTCATTCATGAATCTGTGCAGATACTCACAGTCGCTGCCTGCAGACCCTTCGCTCCGAGTTTCCCCGAAACTCCAGCATCTCCTTGTTCTCCTTCAGCTCCCTGAACCCCAGACAGGAAACACTCAGGACATGAGATTTAAAAGTTTAGTGGTGGGAGAATATTCAGATCTTGTACTTGAGTAAAAGTAGAAGTACTCAGATATTGTACTTGAGTAAAAGTAGAAGTACTCAGATCTTGTACTTGAGTAAAAGTAGAAGTACTCAGTTCTTGTACTTGAGTAAAAGTAGAAGTACTCAGATCTTGTTCTTGAGTAAAAGTAGAAGTACTCAGATCTTGTACTTGAGTAAAAGTAGAAGTACTCAGAACTTGTACTTGAGTAAAAGTAGAAGTACTCAGATCTTGTACTTGAGTAAAAGTAGAAGTACTCAGATCTTGTACTTTAGTAAAAGTAGAAGTACTCAGATCTTGTACTTGAGTAAAAGTAGAAGTACCAGAGTGTAGGAATACTCTGTTACAGTAAAAGTCCTGCATTCAAAATGTTCCTCAAGTGAAAGTATAAAAGTATTCTCATCAAAATATAGTGAAAGTAGCGACAGTAAAAGTAGTCGTTGTGCAGATTGGTCCATTTCAGAATAATATATATGATATGTTTTATAATGATTGATCATGAAAGTGTTCTCAAAGCTGGTAAAGGTGCAGCTAGTTTGAAGGACTTTGTAGACTGCAGGGTAGCTGGTGGATTTACCTTAAAAAACACATGACTCATGTTGAGATTTCAGATTTAAAGCTGACTTCTTCAGAAAGTCCACAACAAGTTCTCAGTTATTTGTATTTCCCTTTCAGGACTGGAGCTTTTTCCCTCAGGGTTTCCCTCGTTGACATGTGATCAGGTTGGACAGCCAATGAGAGACTTCCCGTTATAAAAACATTTTAAAAGACTCATTTTGGATTCGGGATGTTAAGATAGAGCAAAGGAGCGTCCATTGTATTCAACCGTCGAGATATAATTACGATAATTAACATGTTGATAAAACAATGTAAGGGATGTTTTTAGAGGAGTTTTCAGGACTCCAAATGTCTTTTTTAAACTTTCAACATCTCAAGTTCGGTGTTTTCAAAGCGTGTCTGCTGTCTCCAAACACATGGTTTAACAACATGCGCCAGACGTTCTGTGCGTGGGAGTCTGAACAGGACAGGGCTTTTTCACTTCCCTTTCTTTTAAGGTCTCGACATTATAAACATCCTTTTTTTAAATGTCAGGGGCGTCCCCGAAACTTGAGCTTTATAAATGTCACAATACAGATTTAGAAACCACCCTTTGTGGGACTGTCCCCATACGAAGAGAGAAAGGTGTAGGACACTGTAGGTCAAACAACAATTACCATCTGGACTTTCAGGATCTAAATGACCCCTAATGTCTGGAGATTTTTTACATTCATTTCCATAAAACTCATCGCTCCTTCTGGTCTCATCTCCAACCAATTAATATAGAGGAAAATAACTCTATTAGCACATTGTCCACCTCTAAAGACACACTGGTTTTAACGAGGGCTTTCTGAAGTGTCCGTACTGGGACGTCTATTTACCTCAAATTGAATTTACACTGATTTACAGACGTTTTCCCCCAATGTAAGTCAATGGGAATGAGTCTTTCTGGGCCCTGTGCGTCACGTTCATTTAACCTTTATATATACTCTACATATCATACATTTACAACGACAGCGAGTCAATTATAAACAACAACAACAACAACAAAGCGATAAAAAAAGAGGCAACTTCATCATAAAAGCCAATAAAACTTGTAATAATTTGATAGATTAATTAGGATATACAAATGGAGCGAAGCCTGCGAGCTAGTTCAGGCAGTCGACTCGAGCACATTACCACGTGACGCACCTCGTCCCTCTAACAACCAACCAACCAAACACATTCTCATAAACATGCCGCTCTATTGAAGCTGCCAGGTCTTCCTGCCTCTGCCTCGCTAGCTGCTGCTGCTGTGTTCACTTGCTGCTGCTCGCCTGCCCCCACACCACCCCAGCTTCCGCCCAGCTTCCGCCCCAGCTTCACCCCAGCTTCCGCCCCAGCTTCACCCCAGCTTCCGCCCCAGCTTCCGCCCAGCTTCACCCCAGCTTCACCCCAGCTTCACCCCAGCTTCCACCCCAGCTTCACCCCAGCTTCACCCCAGCTTCCGCCCCAGCTTCACCCCAGCTTCCGCCCCAGCTTCCCCCCCAGCTTCACCCCCAGCTTCACCCCCAGCTTCCGCCCCAGCTTCACCCCAGCTTCCGCCCCAGCTTCGCCCCAGCTTCCGCCCCAGCTTCCGCCCCAGCTTCACCCCAGCTTCACCCCAGCTTCCGCCCCAGCTTCACCCCAGCTTCGCCCCAGCTTCCGCCCCAGCTTCCGCCCCAGCTTCCGCCCCAGCTTCACCCCAGTTTCACCCCAGCTTCCGCCCCCAGCTTCCGCCCCAGCTTTCGCCCCAGCTTCCGCCCCAGCTTCACCCCAGCTTCACCCCAGCTTCCGCCCCAGCTTCACCCCAGTTTCACCCCAGCTTCCGCCCCAGCTTCGCCCCAGCTTCCGCCCCAGCTTCCGCCCCAGCTTCCGCCCCAGCTTCCGCCCCAGCTTCCGCCCCAGCTTCACCCCAGCTTCCACCCCAGCTTCCGCCCCAGCTTCACCCCAGCTTCACCCCAGCTTCACCCCCAGCTTCACCCCAGCTTCCGCCCCAGCTTCACCCCAGCTTCCGCCCAGCTTCACCCCAGCTTCACCCCAGCTTCCGCCCCAGCTTCACCCCAGCTTCACCCCAGCTTCTGCCCCAGCTTCCGCCCCAGCTTCCGCCGCAGCTTCCGCCCCAGCTTCACCCCAGCTTCCGCCCCAGCTTCACCCCAGCTTCCGCCCCAGCTTCACCCCAGCTTCACCCCAGCTTCCGCCCCAGCTTCACCCCAGCTTCCACCCCAGCTTCACCCCAGCTTCCACCCCAGCTTCACCCCAGCTTCCGCCCCAGCTTCACCCCAGCTTCACCCCAGCTCCACCCCAGCTTCACCCCAGCTTCCACCCCAGCTTCACCCCAGCTTCACCCCAGCTTCACCCCAGCTTCACCTGTAGGCTCGGGGGATAGTTATCTAATAATCACTCAATGTTCTTTGTAAATCTGTGGAGTGATGAGGCCCAAGCCTAGACGCCAAACTCAAACTATATGCTGCTATAATAAACATATTAAGAAACATGTGAGTTGTCTGACTGAAATATATTACAATTAGAAATCTGCTTAACTTATTGGAATAAGGTTCCTTTCTTAGATTTTCTTTCTAAATTTGCAATTAATTATCTCTCTAAGAAGTCTGTAATAAAAAGGCTGATGCACTCCCAAGCGCAGAATAAAAGGAGGCAAGCAAACAAACAAAGTGTTCGTAGCCAGAAGTGTTTGGAGCTGGGACACTGGACATTATTACAGTGAAGGCAACCGCTCGTGTTTATTCAATATTTAATTGAAAGAAAACCTAATTTTGACAACTTTGATTTTGTTTATTTAGTTTATTCTCTTTCGATATTCTGTATATACTTTTTTGTCTTTATACATCTTTTTGAGCATTAATCAACCGACTACGCCTTTGTTTACGGACGGACAAAGAGAACCCCGTCATATGTGTATTTCCACAGTTTTGCTGTCAGTAGCTCAGCACACTTGATCATGTGTTGGTCTGGAATTGAACCGGTGTCTTCAGATGCACTCACCCCAGCGCCCACTCTGCCTCGAGGTCCCTTCACACCGCCGTCTCCTTTACTGCCCTGCAGAACCAGAGGAGACAAGATGCTGAGGAGAAGTACTCACATGCATTACTTAAAAAACAGAAACAGAAATAAGACAAGACAAGACAAGACTAGACTAGACTAGACTAGACTAAAGTAGACTAGACTAGACTAGACTAGACTAGACTAGACTAGACTAGACTAGACTAGACTAGACTAGACTAGACTAGACTAGACTAGACTAGACTAGACAAGACAAGACAAGACAAGACAAGACAAGACAAGACAAGACAAGACAAGACAAGACAAGACAAGACAAGACAAGACAAGACAAGACAAGACAAGACAAGACTAGACTAGACTAGACAAGATAAGACAAGACTAGATAAGATAGTGTTTGTTACCTTGTATCCGAACACCCCCGGCTCTCCGCTCACCCCGGGGACTCCCATCAGACCCTGAGGAGGAAACCAGGAAGAAGTTCAGATGACAGTTTTGTAGATATATTTTTCACTCTAAATGTAATAAACTCACGTCTTCTCCGGGGTCGCCGTCGCTGCCCGGCAGGCCGCCGTAACCTTTGGTTCCCTGAGGGAGACAACAGAGACAACATGACATGAGCAGAGAGAAAACGAAGCTTAACGCAAGTTCAATCGAGCCCCCTCCCAAAATATACCTCCGCTAATTGACAAACACAATAGAGTGGTGCAGTGACGAGTCCTAAAACCCGGAAGTGAGTCAGCATTTCACCACTTCCTGTTCCCTCGTCTCAGAGCCAATGGGATCTCTCCATAGGATTTAGGAAAATAGCTGAAATAAGGTCTGTGGTTGAGACACATTGAAGAGACGGATCACGTTTTGTTCTACGACATTAAATCATCAGCAGAGACCCCACTGGAGATTTCTGAAGAGTTGACGTGTCTGAAAAACGATGGTTGTTACCAAGTGGCTGAATAGGACTACAGAAGTTGTGGAGGCCGTTGTACGTCATTACGCCGAACACGTAAACACTCCTCTGAGTTAGTTTCTGTTCTGCTTGAAAGCAAGTCCCTGCCTCCTGCAGACTGTTCAAACAAACGCTTCAACTTGTTCCATCTAGAATCTGTGTGTTTGAATATGTGACGTTGAAGTCGTGCTGCTGGACTCGGCTGTAGTTCCTTTATAGCATAACGTTAGCATTTAGCTTCTGGCGACTAGATTTATGATTAGAACATTAGAAAAGTAGGGTAGACATGTGGAGATTATCCGGCTGAACAAAAGGTGCATTTATCAAACAGGTTCGTTTTCCACGGACTTTATTTCCAGCTATTTTCCAAAATCCTATGGAGAAATAGGAATAGGAAATCCCGTTGCTTTTTTGTCGAGGGAACCGGAAGCTTACTTCCGGATTTTAGGATGCGTCACTGCACCGCTCTATTACATTAATCTGTGTGTTCTCCACAATAAATACATATTGTTAAATTAAAACAAAGTCTGTCCTGATTGAAACACTGCACAGAATATATGGATATCAGTAAAACATCCAATAATCAGCTGTTTACTTGTTACTTGGTTATTCCCAGTAAACTATATAAATACAAATATTAAAAAAGTAAATATTCCTAAATTTCTGGCTAATTTTTGGCTTTAGAGTCATCAGTGAAAAACTACACAAGAGCTGAATTAACCTGTTTAAGAAGTACTGACAAAAAGCTTGATTGGTTGATTTCATAAACGTAAAAATAAACATTTATTAAAAAAAAGATTATGTTGTAATCAAGGTTTATTGGACAAGTGCAACATTTGCCTTAAATGAATAAATAAATCAAAGAAGTCTAATAGGATTGTATACAGCAGGGGTGGGGAACCTCCAGCCCCCAGGCCGTATACGGCCCGCGAGACGATTTGGTACGGCCCTCGAGGTAATTTAGCACGCAAAAAAGAAAAAAATTAAAGAAATCTAGACCGCAAAAAAAACAAAACAAGCTCCTGCCTGTTTTTCCTGGCCAAGGTCAGAGTCCTTGAACACAACACGAGCCTAACGTGTCATCACGTGGTATATGTCTCGTCTGACAGGAGTGCAGTTCTGACGGAGAGCACCAGAAATTGCAGTACCCATAAGGAGCCGTACACATGCTGAAGTTTTTGCGTGGCTGTGTCTTTAGTTGTAAGCCCATCTGTTAATCTGTCACACTGATCATACAGTCAATACCTTTGTTGTTGTTAGCATCTGGTTAGCTAGCTATGCTAACGAATATAAGAAGCTTTTTCTTCAATCAGTGAGGTAAAGGCACATCTTTATATGATCATTATAGTTATAAAAAAATAAGAGAATAAAGTAAACAGGTATAAAATACTATATGACAGTAAAAAAAAGTATTATTAATAAACGAGAATACAGTTTGAAAGGAGAGTGATTTGTAAAATATCCATAAAGAAAAAGAAAATCTGCTTCCAGTTCTGTTTCATCTGGATGTTGAGAGATGTTTCCATAGAGCTCCTAATGTTGCTCTCAAAGTGCACCAGATTGATGCTTTTAACTTCAATATTTAAAAATAAATCTTCCCGGGGAAGCATGCCCAAGTGGAGGAGGTTAGGCCCCCCCCCCCCCCACTTAAATCGTGTCCACATGGATAGGAAACTAAATACATTTGCAAACATCTTGTGTCCATATTTTTCTATTTTGGTGGTCATGCCACACCGTGCACGTGCATGCGCGAGTCATGGCAAGATATCTGGATTGAGAGGTTGCTTTTTCTTTGCACAGCATGAAAGAAAGGCCAAATGAATGGGCTGTGATTTTAGTATTTTTAAGCAGAGGTCAATAATTGGTACGACCCTCGGAGGATGTTGAAAACATTGAAAAGGCCCTTGAGAGGAAAAAGGCTCCCCACCCCTGAGCTACAGCCTCATGATGCACTCTTTACCCAGGTGGTAGCCTACAACATGGATAACTCTTTAAATGTATTTTTTTAGTGAACCTTGCTGGCTTGAATACCAGCATTCATGAGAGGATCATCACATCATTTGTTTATCTCAGCAATGTGACCTCAACATAATGAGTTATACAAATACATGGTGACATCTCTCACATTCACTTTTACTTTTACTTTTGCCTAATTCATCTGTAGACATCCGTCATCTGTGGCTGCAGTTTTTTGTTCATTTTCACTTTGACTTACGACTGTATTTTTCTATTTGCTTCAATTGGCGAGCACTCCAACACATTGTACGTGATCACAGAGCAGGAGAGGACTCTTTAAAGTAGAGACACTACATACTGATATACACCTGAACATCAGCAGGAGAGGACTCTTTAAAGTAGAGACACTACATACTGATATACACCTGATTATCAGCAGGAGAGGACTCTTTAAAGTAGAGACACTACATACTGATATACACCTGAACATCAGCAGGAGAGGACTCTTTAAAGTATACTACATACTGATATACACCTGAACATCAGCAGGAGAGGACTCTTTAAAGTAGAGACACTACATACTGATATACACCTGAACATCAGCAGGAGAGGACTCTTTAAAGTAGAGACACTACATACTGATATACACCTGATTATCAGCAGGAGAGGACTCTTTAAAGTAGAGACACTACATACTGATATACACCTGAACATCAGCAGGAGAGGACTCTTTAAAGTATACTACATACTGATATACACCTGAACATCAGCAGGAGAGGACTCTTTAAAGTAGAGACACTACATACTGATATACACCTGAACATCAGCAGGAGAGGACTCTTTAAAGTAGAGACAATACATACTGATATACACCTGAACATCAGCAGGAGAGGACTCTTTAAAGTAGAGACACTACATACTGATATACACCTGAACATCAGCAGGAGAGGACTCTTTAAAGTAGAGACACTACATACTGATATACACCTGAACATCAGCAGGAGAGGACTCTTTAAAGTAGAGACACTACATACTGATATACACCTGAACATCAGCAGGAGAGGACTCTTTAAAGTAGGAGACACTACATACTGATATACACCTGAACATCAGCAGGAGAGGACTCTTTAAAGTAGAGACACTACATACTGATATATACCTGAACATCAGCAGGAGAGGACTCTTTAAAGTAGAGACACTACATACTGATATACACCTGAACATGAGCAGGAGAGGACTCTTTAAAGTAGAGACACTACATACTGATATACACCTGAACATGAGCAGGAGAGGACTCTTTAAAGTAGAAACACTACATACTCATATACACCTGAACATCAGCAGGAGAGGACTCTTTAAAGTAGAGACACTACATACTGATATACACCTGAACATCAGCAGGAGAGGACTCTTTAAAGTAGAGACACTACATACTGATATACACCTGAACATCAGCAGGAGAGCACTCTTTAAAGTAGAGACACTACATACTGATATACACCTGAACATGAGCAGGAGAGGACTCTTTAAAGTAGAGACAATACATACTGATATACACCTGAACATCAGCAGGAGAGGACTCTTAAAGTAGAGACACTACATACTGATATACACCTGAACATCAGCAGGAGAGGACTCTTTAAAGTAGAGACACTACATACTGATATACACCTGAACATCAGCAGGAGAGGACTCTTAAAGTAAAGTAGAGACACTACATACTGATATACACCTGATTATCAGCAGGAGAGGACTCTTTAAAGTAGAGACACTACATACTGATATACACCTGAACATCAGCAGGAGAGGACTCTTTAAGTAGTATACTACATACTGATATACACCTGAACATCAGCAGGAGAGGACTCTTTAAAGTAGAGACACTACTACTGATATACACCTGAACATCAGCAGGAGAGGACTCTTTAAAGTAGAGACACTACATACTGATATACACCTGTTATCACAGGAGAGGACTCTTTAAAGTAGAGACACTACATACTGATATACACCTGAACATCAGCAGAGAGGACTCTTTAAAGTATACTACATACTGATATACACCTGACATCAGCAGGAGAGGACTCTTTAAAGTAGAGCACTAACATACTGATATACACCTGAACATCAGCAGGAGAGGACTCTTTAAAGTAGAGACAATACATACTGATATACACCTGAACATCAGCAGGAGAGGACTCTTTAAAGTAGAGACACTACATACTGATATACACCTGAACATCAGCAGGAGAGGACTCTTTAAAGTAGAGACACTACATACTGATATACACCTGAACATCAGCAGGAGAGAACTCTTTAAAGTAGAGACACTACATACTGATATACACCTGAACATCAGCAGGAGAGGACTCTTTAAAGTAGAGACACTACATACTGATATACACCTGAACATCAGCAGGAGAGGACTCTTTAAAGTAGAGACACTACATACTGATATATACCTGAACATCAGCAGGAGAGGACTCTTTAAAGTAGAGACACTACATACTGATATACACCTGAACATGAGCAGGAGAGGACTCTTTAAAGTAGAGACAATACATACTGATATACACCTGAACATGAGCAGGAGAGGACTCTTTAAAGTAGAGACACTACATACTGATATACACCCTGAACATCAGCAGGAGAGGACTCTTTAAAGTAGATACACTACATACTGATATACACCTGAACATCAGCAGGAGAGGACTCTTTAAAGTAGAGACACTACATACTGATATACACCTGAACATCAGCAGGAGAGCACTCTTTAAAGTAGAGACACTACATACTGATATACACCTGAACATGAGCAGGAGAGGACTCTTTAAAGTAGAGACAATACATACTGATATACACCTGAACATCAGCAGGAGAGGACTCTTTAAAGTAGAGACACTACATACTGATATACACCTGAACATCAGCAGGAGAGGACTCTTTAAAGTAGAGACACTACATACTGATATACACCTGAACATCAGCAGGAGAGGACTCTTTAAAGTAGAGACACTACATACTGATATACACCTGAACATCAGCAGGAGAGGACTCTTTAAAGTAGAGACACTACATACTGATATACACCTGCACATCAGCAGGAGAGGACTCTTTAAAGTAGAGACACTACATACTGATATACACCTGCACATCAGCAGGAGAGGACTCTTTAAAGTAGAGACATTACATCCTGACACCAGAAACCAAAGCACATGACTGTGTGTGACACTAGGTGCTCTCCAGAGGAACATAGTGAAGATTGTTTTCGTGTTAACTCACTTTCTGTTTAACTCTCATTCCATGACCTTAAACGGTCTGATCTAAATCAGTTAGTTATAGAAAGTGAAACTAAAAAGACCCCTACGCACTTTTGGTATTTTTTCTGACTTTAAGTGGAAGTTTCTAAAGCATTTTGTTGCATAATGAGAAATAATGAAACACCTTGGAACCTCATCCCAAAAATACACAAATTCAAAATAGTCTAGAAATGAACACACATCATTTTTGATCTGTTCCCTGTTGGTAGAGTTATTTCTTATAACTGCTGCTTGCGAAACACGGCGCACACATTACCTACAATCACTTTAAAATGTTCTTTCCTCCTTATTGAAAGAGTTACTTCATCATGTGACTTTGTTTTGTTGTGATAAAAAAGGGTTCACACACACACACACACACACACACACACACACACACACACACACACACACACACACACACACACACACACACACACACACACACACACACACACACACACACACACACACACACACACACACACACACACACACACACACACACCCTGGTAATGCGTGTGTTAAATCATGAGTTATGTCACACTGTGTGTCACGTGTTGTCAGCTGACACAGTCTCTTGATCCACAGCAGTGTCAGCGAGGGGAGGCGAATGTTTGTCTTGATATTGAGTTTGAGGCGGATTATATATTTTAATCTGATTACATGCAATGCTAAAATCAGCCTGAAGTCCCACTAGCGCCACCTGCAGGCTGCAGTGTGCATTAGAGAAGCTGTTTGGGGTTCCCCTCTGCTGCAGTGTGTTGGATCTGTTTTTCTAACCTTAACCCTGCCTGAGACGCCTCTATTGAACTCCTTTCTTTACTTCAGGAACATAGTGACATCACAATGAAACACGCGCACTTCTATTGGCTAGCACTCCGACACATAGGCTAAGGGGCGGGACATCTATGTTATTCTTAAACCAGTTAAGGTGTCCCCTCTCTTGTCGTGTGTTATATAGGTGTTAGTGCATGTAAATGGTCTGCAAAGGCCTCCATTGGTCTCCTTTGTTTACTTCAGGAACATAGTGACATCATTATGAAACACGCGCACTTCTATTGGTGCTCCGACACATTGTACGTGATAGGCTAAGGGGCGGGACATCTCTAAGCGGTTGACCAATCACAAAAGAGCCGGCCAGCTAACCAATCAGAGCAGACTGGGCTCTGGTTTCAGACAGAGGGCGAATGAGACAAATAAATAAAGATTTTTGAAAATGACAGCATGGAGACATGTCACGACCAGGGCCCATTTTTCTTTGCAGCCCCTGGTTATTAACAGCATCCTAAAAAGGACTTAGAGACACTGGCACTGACTCATCAGTTTCAGTATTCCCTCCTTGGAATGTACTGGAACAGGAAGGAGGTCATCGGGAAACTAAAGATCCTTATCATAAACCCACGATAACCTGAGTGATTCTTTATGATGAACTGTATTAAGACATCTAATACAGAAAGTGTGCTTGTACCTTTGGTCCGCCTGGTCCGATGGAGCCGGTCTGTCCAGTATAACCCTGAGGACAGCAAACAGGAAGCAGGTGATCTCAAATACAAATCAGAGCGACAAGGAAATATACTGTGGAAAAAAACATTCAATCTGGAGCAGTGGTTAGGAAACATCACACCGGATGAGACTCATTTCCCCACGTTAGTGACTTCGCTCCTTCACAGAAGGAGACCCTGAAATAACTCCCTTAATCGTCATGATGGGAAACAGAATGAAGTGTCCCAACTATTTGACCCAAACTGAACGTAAAAGAATGTTTTTAGACACACAGTAGGCGGAGTTAATGGACGCAAGTGATGGGACGTTTTGATCATAATTGAATTTAGGCAATTAGTCAGTCACTATTTTCCTTGTGATCAAAGATCCATTTTACATTTGGATTGCAGACGAAACAACCTAATAACGTCTCAAATGTTAACGAATTCTAATATTTGACTGAAATGTGCTATTATTTATTTGTGTATTACAATGAATACAGTTGATGATTTTTCTCACAGTGTATCCTCGGTCTCCGACGTCTCCTGGAAACCCGGGAGCTCCGATCTGACCCTGGGGAGGACAACAGAAGATTAGAGACTAACTTCAGCGCCCTCTGCTGGTGAAGAAGAGGTGCAACAGAGCTCCAATATATGTGTTTTCTTTTACAAATATTGAAGAACAGCCACATGTGATAGCTAAACAGCACACTGTTAATTGGGTCTCTCGGTGAACCTGTGTTTCTGAATGTCAGCACTGTGGTCTTCTGTCAGTGAGAGATTGTATCAACATGATCTTTAGTCTGCAGGCTCATATGTTCTGGTTCTTCTCCTCATATCAGAGCATCTTCACCTCAAGACTCTACAGAGTTATATCAGAGCATCTTCACCTCAAGACTCTACAGAGTTATATCAGAGCATCTTCACCTCAAGACTCTACAGAGTTATATCAGAGCATCTTCACCACAAGACTCTACAGAGTTATATCAGAGCATCTTCACCACAAGACTCTACAGAGTTATATCAGAGCATCTTCACCTCAAGACTCTACAGAGTTATATCAGAGCATCTTCACCTCAAGACTCTACAGAGTTATATCAGAGCATCTTCACCTCAAGACTCTACAGAGTTATATCAGAGCATCTTCACCTCAAGACTCTACAGAGTTATATCAGAGCATCTTCACCTCAAGACTCTACAGAGTTATATCAGAGCATCTTCACCACAAGACTCTACAGAGTTATATCAGAGCATCTTCACCTCAAGACTCTACAGAGTTATATCAGAGCATCTTCACCACAAGACTCTACAGCTGGGGGGTCAAACTCAATTTCATGGCGGGCCACATTCACATTATGGTTGCACACAAAGGGCCGGTTGTAAGTTTAAGACTATATAAAAATACCTATATAAATATATCATATATATAAAATAATGTATTATATCACATGTTTGCCTCTGCATTGGATTATTATCGGATAGGGTAATAACTTCATAATTAACTACGTCTGAAAGCAGAAGTCTAGGGCAAGTAATTACAAGTCTTTTCAGTGAGAATATCACAAAATGATTTCAAAAGAAAAGCCAAATTCTGGAAAAAAAGTCACAATAAAAACAAAGAAGTGACATTTTGAAAAAAAGTAATATTAAAAAAATGCATATTTAGAAGAAAAAAAGGCAAATTCTGAGAAAAAAAGTCAAATTTGAGATGCATTGTGGGACATGTAGTTTATGGGCAACGTGCTCCTGTAAAGTGGCATGAAACCGTATAATAAACATATTTTATTGTTTGCAAGCTCTTGTGGGACCACAGAAAAGGAAGTCGCGGGCCGGATTTGGCCCCCGGGCCTTGAGTTTGACACCGCTGCTGTGAAACCATCTGATCACTGCAGTGTAGCTGAAAATGATCTCTAATGAAACTCATTGATTACAATACTTTATAAATTCTGACTTCATTCTGAAATTCTCAGAGCTCAGACTTTCTTTCAAATCTCAAAATTCTGACTTTATTTAGACATTTTCTAAAAACCACAAAGAAAATGTTTTTCAAACACATTTTCACAGTTTTTCTCAAAATGCTTCCTTTTTTTCTAAAATCCTAAAATGTTTACTTTTTCGCAAATGTTACATTTTTTAAATTCGCACTTTATTTAGAAATGTTCTAAATGTGCACTTTAACGTTCAAACTTTTTTCTCAAAATCATGACATTTGTACTTTTTTCTAAAAATGCACAATTTTTCAGAAAATTGCTGAATTCTTATTTTATTTGGAAACATTTTTCATTCTTACTTTTTACCCAAAATCACAACATTTTTACTTTTTTTCTGAAAATGTCAAAATTCTGAATGTTTCCTGAAAATCGATCTTGGTCTCACCTTCTGGCAGTGAGACTGGTAAAAGGGGCGGGGCTACATTTTGTATATTATTTTAGTTCAATTAAAGGTGGGTTAGGTCATTTTGGAGAAACCAGCTCGAGTGCGCTAGAATTTGAAAATACACAGCCGGAACAAATCTAACCCCTCCTCCAACACACATGAACGCGCACATGACCAATGAGGGCACGAGAGAAGTTTGTGCCCAGATGGAAGGCTGACAGGCAGGTAGGCCATCCAGTTACTTTAGCCGGCTCAGATGATTGGTCGTGCTTTTTACAGCGCCACGGCTTCCACAGATGATGTGTTTTTATGGATTTATTGTCAAAGCACTTCAGATATTCAATGCTATCGGGATGTTAAGAGCATTCCATGGAATATAACAACAAGTGTATCTCGAGCCGGTTTCTCAAACTTACCTACCCCACCTTTAACTCCTGCATATGCTTTAAGGACATTTTTTATCTATTTATTGGGCCATTTATTTTAATCTTCTTTAGTTTCCATACCTTCAGTCCGTCCCGTCCAATCGGACCCTCGCTGCCTCCGTGCCCAACAGACCCCTGAGCAGAAAGAAAAACACAGAAATTAGAGTTCAAATCAAATGCTGAAAACTAAAACCCAAATAGAAAACATCAGCTGCAGCAAAAAAGATGATTATGTGAAGTCACAAGTCGTTATTTGTATTTGGAAAACGGGTTAAAAATGGAACCGCTCTGACGAATAAAGCTTTACATTCAAATGTGAATAAAAGTCAAAGAAGTCCATGAAACATTTCAGGTAAAAATCAGAAGCGCAAATCCTTACCTTGATCCCTTTACCTCCGCTCGGTCCTGAAGAGCCAGCCTCCCCTCCAGGGCCCTGACATACAAACACACACACACACACACAACAATACATAAACACTCGCAACGTGCGTGTGTGTGTGTGTGTGTGTGTGTGTGTGTGTGTGTGTGTGTGTGTGTGTGTGTGTGTGTGTGTGTGTGTGTGTGTGCGTGTGTGTGTGTGTTTGTAACGCTGACTTTGCAGTTACAATAAAACTAATAACAACAATACTGCATACACTTATAATACATGTAATAAGGTTCTTGTTGATATGTTGTTATTGGTCTTTGTTTGTTGTGTACTTATATGCAATACATACAATATATATTCCGTAAACAGCGGTGCAATATATACTCCCCCCTGTAATACTATCACCTGGTGCTATGTCACTAAACTGTTACTGGATGTGAATTATGTAAATTGTGTAATTTCTAGTTGTATTTGTAATATTTCTCTGCATGCGTCTTTCTTTATTTAAGCTATCTTTGGTTCTGTTCTTGCTGTAACCATATCAATGTCCCCTCTGTGGGATTCATAAAGTTATTCTGATTCAGATCATATATGTGCTCATCGTTGAGCCTGAGCCTCTCCTTGTTTGTTTAGGGGTGCAACAACCAGTGCTTGAATTGGAATGAAAAAGGTGCCAGTACTCTAAAATCAGCAACTTTTTCAAGTCAATTTTATTTACAGCCCACAAACAAGAATTTGGCTACTATAATGCTGGTGGGTTTGTCTCTTTACTACTGTATATTTTAGAAAGGTTCACTGTACTTAACATTTTTTATGATAGGCAGCGGATATGGCTAAAGCTCAGTAAGGTCAATATTAACTGAAAATATAGCAATCAAAGTCTAGATCTTCTGCTGAAGACACATGAAGCAGAGACCTTTCAGGTGAGAGCCCCTCTGGTGGTGTTCAACATTAATGACAAGGAAACAAAGCTCTGGTCAGAAGCATTTTTTATAAAAAGCTTTAACAAAATTAAGTATTTCTGTACATTTTGAATGCAATCTAACTTTCCAACTCAGAAAACGAAAAACGAAAAAGTGCCAAAAGTCTTCTCACATGGCTGAGCTGCTTTGCAATATACTTCACCACTGAAGAATACAAATATGTATAAAGTAAACTATGATGCAATCTAACTTTCCAACTCAGAAAAATGATAAAGAGCATGAACAAAGAACATGTAAAAACAAATGCAAAATTTGCACAATCTAAATGAGAAACTGTAACTGCAAGTAACAAAGTCTGAGCCATGGTAAAGAGTTACATTGAACACCAAGCTGATCAGATCACTCCCTGGTTGGTCTGAAGTCCTTCTATCTCCAGGATCTGTACAAATCGGCACATTATGCCAAAAGTCTTCTCACTGGGTGAGCTGCTTTGCAATATACTTCACATTGTTAGAAAAGGCTCCAGAAGGCCTTGGGGACATCAGTATCAGGGGCTGGAGCTGGACAGAATCTTTCATCAGCACTTCTCCTTCCCTTTGCCAGCCAGGACCTCACATACTGTTCCGGATTGAACTGTCCTAGTGATGGTCCATTACATTGAATGAAAACCAGGCTGGACAGTCGGCTGACAGAGAGAGCATTCCTTTTTGCAGTAAGGATATCGTTCATGCAGCTGAATGCCCGCTCACACTCACTAGTGGAGACAGCGATGGTTCGGACTGCTTTCAGTAGAGGCTCCATGGCAGCAGGTGTACGGGATGCCCTGGTTTCCTTGTATTCGCGAAAGCCCTGAACAGTCTCTCTTCTGTCCACTTTCAGCACTTCGCACAAACGTAGCACCTCTACGTCCCCATACTGTACGTCTAACTCCTCTTCAGGCCAACTTCCAGGATGGATAACTTTCATGTCCTGGATTAGCTGATTGTCCCGGGCCTCCCGGCCATGTAATGGGATTTATCTTGTGCTGACATGAGAGGAGGTTGTGGAAGTCATTCTGTGTCTCAGATTCTCTACCATACTGCGGAAAAAACTGACCTGCATGAATCTGTACAAGCCTGCCATTCTCACGCAGGGCAACACCCTTGAAGGACTTCTCAGCTAGAGCTGTATGAACTGTAGTCATGTGTGGGCCAGGCATGGTGACCATGGATTCAAAAACTCGTATTTCTCGAGTTAAGAGCCTATCTGCTCTAGGCAGTGTCATCTCTCTTTTTTGGAGTTGCCGAGAGAGGTCGCTGAGCTCTGTGAGCGCATCGTACATCAGTCCCAGATTGCTGACAAACGTTGCAGATGTGAGCACATCATCCAGGCCCTTGTACTTTGCTCTGTCTCTGGAATCCCTGCTCGTGTCGTTTGCAGCATTTGTGAAGTGATCATGAAGCACTCGGTAGTTTTCCCAGACTGCTCTGATGCTCCTTTCACTTGAAGCCACCCAGCGGATGGACAAAACACGCCCTATCACCAGGAGACGCTGTCCGACTGCTTGCGCACACTGCGCTAACTGCCTCTGATTTTTGGGGGAGGCATGGAACAAGGAATAGAGTTTGTCAAAAAAGATCTGGAAATGATTGAGCCCTGAGACCTCCTTGACCACATCCCCAACTGCCAGCTCTAGACGATGATTGGAGCAGTGCCACACAAACAGGCTTGGGAATTTACTACACAACTGGGTAGCAACGCCTGTTCTCTTCCCTAGCATGACTGAAGCCCCATCACATGCAAAAGAAACGAAACACTGACCTAAAAAGTCCTCGTTAAAATCTCTTCCAAGACACTCCATTAACGCCTTTGTGATGTCATCAGCCGTTGTTCCATCCAACTCGATCAGCTCTCAAAAAAACGTTTCGGGCTCAGCATCAGCTAATGCTGAGCGTAGACACACAACAAGCACCGTTTTACCACTAATAGTGGTAGATTCATCGACCAAAACACAGAGTTTTCTTTGGTTTTCTGTAATGTCTTTTGCCATTTTTTCTTCAGCTCATGAGCTATGTGGTCGATGATTTCGCCACAGGTTTTATTGGAGTGCAAAACCCTGCCCACGTTCAGCCCATTCAGTTTCTGTACATTCAAATCAATTGGCATGTCTGTGAATGGCCGGCTATGTTTGCCAATTTTATATGCCGTTCGAAAAAACTCTGATAGTGGTGTCTAATTCAGATTTATGCATAGACTGCAATTGATGTTGAATAGTTTCACGTGAAGCAGATGTAAGGATGTCAGCAGCTTTTACATGGGCTTGTGATTCTTTATGTTCTTTGATTTTTTTTCTCAGGCTAGCTTGTTGTTTGCCCTTGTCAACACCGAAATGAGACACTGCACACTCACCCCATTCAGTTGACAGTTTCAGTCCTTGTCCAGTGTGTATTCCCAAAGATTTGACATCTCTGCATATCCGACATCCTAGCTTCTTATCTTTAAGAAGGAGCCATGCATTGGTCTTGCAAAAATATTGCACCTGGTCCGTTGTCCAGCAGTCAGGTGCATCGTTTTGCCCGGTGTTGGTGGTGGCAGTTGCGCCAGCAGCAGCTAACGTTAGAGGCTCTGGAGGAGGCGGCGGAGCTAGTGCTAATGCTAATGCACTAGAACTTGGAGCAGGAGGATCAACCAAAGAAAGCTCCCCATCAGACACAATTTCCAACACAGGCACAGCATTCTCTGTATTTGAAGTTTCTTCCGGCGACAACCGCTGTCTTTTTGCACTTTTATTAATCCACGCTAACATTTTAGAAATGCTAATTTGTGACGTGACTTGCTTTCCTTCTCTCGGGGGCGTGCCTGCTCTGTTCTATCACTCTACATAGCCACCCACTGGGTGGGAGTTGCACTGCATAAACACAACACACGTGCATCTAGGTATGTAAATTGTAAAGCATTAAAACATGGTTTTACTAACAGTTTTCAGTATGTTGTTACTTCGGCATTATTATTATTATTATTATTTTGAAACGTGTATTACTATTAAAACACGGTCAAATAGGTTAATTTTGACATAGTCGTTTCCACCACAGTATTTACATGGAGAAGATAAGCCCCGCCCCCTCTCCAGCACGTTCTGTTTGAATGACAGGAGTAAACAGCTGACAGCCGCTGTGAAACTCCAGCGGTTAGAGCGATGAGAATGTCCGTTCGGCACCTCATGACGCATCTACTGAGTACCGGGCGGCTGTATATATATATATATGGATGTATAATAAGAACGGCGGGAGCGTGTTGAGTACTGGCACGGTGCATGAGTACCGGAGTACCGCCAGCATGCCGGTACTGAGCAAGAAGTGCCGGTACTCCATGGGTCAGAACCAGAAGTGCCGGTACTGCGTACCGGTGAGTACCGGCCCAATTCCAGCACTGGCAACAACTAATCGACTTCATCGATTACCAAATGAGTTGCAACTAATTCAGTCGTCGATTCGTTGGTGACGTCATCACGTGTTTTACGCCGTTAAGTTCCAACGTTATCGGTCTTTTTATCGGTACTGGAGACATTTAAAAAATATGTCATGTATTATTGCTACAAAAACATTATCTCGCAGTCTTAGTGTCGCCAACTCGTTTCTAATATGCAAAAAGACAAACAAATGCGTCTGTGATGTATTTTCGATCAGACGAGATCTCTCTCTCCCGTCTGTGTGCGAGGGGGCGGCTTACACACACGCGCAGCTGCTACATGCCACAGAACGCGCTCCGTGTTAAACTTTACCCGTCTCGATGTGGAGAATGCTCGTTGCCAAAAGTGCAATAAGAGTTTATCATGTAAGGGCGGTAACACGAGCAGTTTGTCTAAACATTTATCAAAAGTGCTCCACATCCAGACGGAGGAATGCACCGGGTTCCACTGTCTTTCTAGCAGCTCTGTAGCTCCATCCACGAGTAACGTTTCCACGTCAGGTGTTCTGTATGCTAGCAGCAACACACGGAGTTAACTACATGATACAAACATGGGTTAATGATTAGAGGAAACTGAGTTATTTATTTTGTTAAAGTTTCAGCTATTCTGCTTACAATTCTGTTATCAGATTATTTAATACGATTTGTTAAAACATTGTTGTTTCTTTTGATGTGAAATATTATGTATTTAATTTAAATAAAAAGCAATGTTAATTTTGTTCAAAATGTGTTTAGTTAATTTAATAATATATGTATTTTTGAATCAAGTATTCATTGTTAGTGTCCACATAAAACAACCTCAAGCTAAATCTAAAAGTTGATAAATAAGAGCGCTTGAGAAATGGTGCAAGGCATAATAGTCCGAATAGTCGATTAATCGTTTCATTAATCGATTATCAAATGAGTCGTTTGTTGCAGTCCACGCTACAAACAAAGCTAAGTTAGCAATGAAGTCAAATCATTTCATACGAGCAGTTTGGAAAAATGGGAATTGATAGAAAAAGCATTTCCTTCCGCGTGTTATTTAACAGCCAACACTGCTGGTAACCCCCTACATTCACCAGCAGCCTGTTTTACCGCTGCTCCAGCTGCGTGTTGTGGAGCGGCGGGTGGAGCGGCGGGTGGAGCGGCGGGTGGAGCGGCAGGTGGAGCGGCGGGTGGAGCGGCGGGTGGAGCGGCAGGTGGAGCAGCGGACACTCGGGTGGTTTCCGACAGCGTGAAGGAAAACATCCTGGATCAACAGATCTAGAGCTCCTGCCTCTCTCCACGTCGACTGGGTGAGAAACTGTTCTGTGGAAGCCTTGTCCCTAATTTCCAGTATTCTTCATCAATACTCTTTTGATCAAAATCCAAAAATTCAGACTTTTTATTAAATTCAAAAAATTCTCAATTGTTATCAAAATCTCAAAATGCAGACTTTATTTAGAAAATTCAGATTTTATTTTTAAATGTTTTTAATTCAGACTTTTATTCATCAATACATGACAGGTTTCAGAACATGTGTGACTCTGACTCAACTCTCACGTGTGCTTTTATTTCTTGATACACAAAAAAACCTGGTAGATTGATTGATTTTGCATTTACAAATGTGATGAGCCAATTTAAAGTAAAGACACTATTTTATATGCAAGTTGTTTCCTTTTCTGTTAATCCGAATATACATTTTTCTACTGATTAACTTTCCATTTTATGTTCAATTGAAAGATGACTCTTAGTTTGAACGAAGTCAAACACACAGCGCCGCTCCAAGTACCTTAAATAACGTCAACATTGGGTTTAAAGTGTGTGTGTGTGTGTGTGTGTGTGTGTGTGTGTGTGTGTGTGTGTGTGTTGTGTTTCCTCACAGCGATACCAGGGCCTCCCACTCCTCCTCGGGGTCCCTCCATCCCGACGTCCCCCTGGAAAACATATTTCACATTTGAATAAAACATGAATCGTTAATCTGCTGGAGCCGGTGAGCTGGTGACAAACAATGTAACCCAGCCAGGGGGAAGAAGTATTCAGACGCTTCAGTAAGAGTACCAACACTTCAGGGTCCTGCAAATCTTACTTGAGTAAAAGTACAAACGTTTAATCAGCAATAAGTATTTAAAGTATAAAAAGTTAAAGTAATAATAGTGCAGAAAATATATATAATGATATTTATATTGTTATTTGTAGAAAAAGGTAGATAACAAGTAGCATTTTAGTGAAGTAAACAGCATAGTATTTAGTGTGTGTGTGTGTGTGTGTGTGTGTGTGTGTGTGTGTGTGTGTGTGTGTGTGTGTGTGTGTGTGTGTGTGTGTGTGTGTGTGTGTACCTTCAGACCCAGCACTCCCTGCTCTCCTAGGTCTCCTATAAGTCCAGGTTCTCCCTGCAGACGAGAAAAGGTTCAGTTCATAATGTACTCAAATAGTTACTTATAGCTGTATAACGTTCTACAAAGTCTAATATTAGCTTGCATTGTTGAATAAGAACTCTCTAGAATCTATGACGCTATATTACTGCTTTCATCGCTCTATTGGCAAAGGATAAAACGTTGTCAGTTATCAAAGTGTTGTTTTCTTAATTGCTCTAACTGGTTTTAAACTCACCATGGCTCCAGAGAAACCAGAAGCTCCGTCGTCTCCTTCAGCTCCGACGTCGCCCTGTAGGAGCAGAGGTCAGAGGTCAACGAGAGGTCAGAGGTCAAAACTACACAAATAAAGAAGCTGGATAGAAACATATGGATTGATTTAACTCAGAGACTCACACAGGGTTATATGTTATTCTTAAACATGTCAAGGTGTTCCCTCTCCTGTAGTGTGTTCTATAGGTGTTAGTGCAGGTAAATGGTCTGCAGACGCTAAAATCCCTGAGTTCCTTCAAGAGGGAGTTTCTCTCCAACACACTCTGACCCGAAACGCCTCCAATGGGCTCCTTTGTTTACTTCCAGAACATAGTGACATCACTATGCACCACCACGCCCCTTCCCGCTGCCTCCGCTCATCAGAAGCCAACCTCCCATCCATCCCCACCAATCACCGGACCTGGGGGGACAGAGCCTTCTCCGTCGCTGCCCCCTCCCTCTGGAACTCACTCCCCCATCAGAGACGGCACTGACCTCACCACCTTCAACACACTCACCTCTTCAATCTGGCTTTTAATGTGTGATTGTTTTTCTATTATTTGACTTTAACTTTAACTGCTGATCTTTTCTTTTCACTAAAGCGTCTTTGAGCACCTGTAAAAGCGCTAACAAAATAAATGTATTATTATTATCACGATATATAACACTCACGCTCCTATTGGCTAGCGCTCCAACACATTGTACGTGATAGGCTAAGGGGCAGGACATCTCTAAGAGGTTGACCAATCACAACAGAGCCGGCCAGCTAACCAATCAGAGCAGCTCTGGTTTCAGACAGAGGGTGAAAAGAGGTGCTGCAGCACAGAGAGCATGGAGACATGTCCCAGTAGAGCCCATTTAAAATAACTGCACATTCTCAGTAAAATCTGTATAAAATGACAAAATGTTTTTTTACATGTCGTTTAATTTGTGTATTGTTTCACATACCTTGTTTTCTATCTCTTTTTATAAAATCAAAGTATTGTTTGTGTTTCATTTTAATGTTCGTTTGATGGAAAAATAACCTCAACTTAGTTTAAAAGGTTTATTTTTAAATCAATGTATTTAATTATGTTTTAAATATAGTTTGAATCTGACTTCATTCACAGCGTTGTGTCCTTTCACTCAATTGGACTTTTTTCAAAATGTTCCCCTTCCTTGTTTTCACTCTCACTTTTGTTTCCTTGCTTGCCGTTATCTTCCTTTTCATTTTCACTTCACTTGTTCCTCCATCGTACCTCTCACGTTACTGTGACCTACAGTATCTTCAAATATAGCTTCATGAATGATGGTGGTGTTGGGCATCAGTGATGCTGTAAATGTGATTTCCTTACCAATGGTCCGGTGTCTCCTCCTCTTCCTCGAACCCCTTTGGTTCCTTTATAACCCTAAAAGTAAACAGATGAAACTCAGATGGTTCCTTCCTGTGTTGTTTCTCATACTGAATTGAATGGCAGTGTTTCAGAGCGTCACCTCTCGGCCTTGAGGCGCTGGCTCTCCAGTTTTACCCTGCAGGCCGCTGGACCCCTGACAGGAGGAGAGAGATGGTCAAGACAGATTTTATTCAAGGACAAGAAAACAAACTGAAAATAAAGACAATCATTTTCGGATCTATTTCAGAAATGAGAAACAGGTTTATTGCCAAGTAGGTCAACACATACGAGGAATTTGTTTTTGGTGCATACGTAAACATACATCCAAATAAAACAAACATTAACACACTGTGTTATGTGCTTTAGGCCCCGTCCACACGGAGATGAAAACGAAAACGAACCGATGTCGATATCAAAAAAGTATTCCGTCCACACGAGACCGCTCGACCCGCTGGAGATGCTGTAGTACATATGCCGGGCCTGTAAGTGGCGCTGTACCTCCGTCACTAAATACACCAAAAGCAGCGAAGAAGACCCCTCAAGCATGGTTGCCCTTCTGGTTATTCTCCGCGGTGGATTTAGCAACATGTAGTTCATGTAGTTCTCCATGTCCACTTGTTGCTGATGGTTGTGGTCGAGGAGCTGTAGATGTTGCACTAACATCTGTAGCATGGTCAGTAGCGTCTGGAGCACGAACGCAACCCTGTGATCCGCCATTTTTGTTGTCGAAACGCATCAGCAATGACACGGGGTGAGCAGGAGAGGTGGGGAGAGGCGGGGCTATGATCGTTTAGGGCGTACACACGGTGCCGCAAGCGTTACGTTACCAGACCTTCCCACTTTGGGATGCGTTATCGTTTGAGGGCTCCGTTTTCCGCGGCTCCGTTACGGCCTCGTGTGGACGAACCGTCCATACGATAAAGAACGCCCGTTTCGTCTCCGTGTGGACGGGGCCTTAGTGGGTGTTTGTGCTTGTGTGTGTTTGGCCTAATTCCAAACCACACCCTACCCACTCCCCCTCTCTGAGGGAGTCACACTCGCAGCTTAATGAGGCTCCCTTCTTCCAGGTGGAGGGTGTAAAAGCAGCAGCAAGGAACAAACTCCCCTCTCTCCGGCAGAAACAGGAAATGCCGTAATTTTCCGTAACAACGGTTTCAAATCAGCATCTCTTGGACTAAAAATAACAAATAAAACACCAAACATCTTTTATGGCATTTATTTTTTGTAAACATATTTTTGTTTTAAAATCTTAGATTTTGCAAACTTTTACCGTTTTCTAGACTAAACACGAGTATATGATCCTAAGTTAAAAACAATACGAGGTAACAATTAAGTTGTGAACATCAGTATGTCGATATTAAATGTTTATCTTGTTGTGCAGTTTATCAGTAAACGATTGCAGGAACTATTTGTAAACAGCGTGTTTCATGACGGACAGGTAGAGCAGCAGGTGGAGTCAGGGGATGCAGACTCTGTTGAAGGGCTTGATAACACACTCCACACTCGTTGGATTGGAACGGAAACTAATGTGGCGGACCCTCCACGAGAACACGCAAACGGAGGGGTAGTGTGTAGGGGGCGGTTTGGGATTGGGCCTCTCTCTCTTGGTGAAAGAGGTGGAATTCTTGTTCTGGTATAAAGTGTGATATGTGCCATGTTGTTAAAGCACTTGAGCTGCACCAGAGGCCTGTACTACGAAGCCGGATTTTCGCTTAGCGGCTAACTTCAGGGAAAACTCGGGGTTTCCGGTCCTACGACGCTGGTTCTCGTTTTAGCGGGCTAGATCTCCATGGTAACTTATGCTGAGCGGCTAACCTGGGGCCTATACTACGAATCTAGTTCAACATATCCTGGATATGTTTTGAGTTAGCCGGTTGGCCTAATCCAAAACATACGCGCTCTCGCTAAACTGTACTACGACGCTGGTTATCAAGTGGATCGCTCAAGCCAGCCGTTTCCTATCTAGCTAGGTGCGCGTTCACATGAAAGGGGTGGTATCTGGAGCATTCGACCAATCACAAACATGGAGAAGCGTACTGACAGCGCAGCGTCATACTTCCTGAATGAAAAGTGAACTATAATATTAGACATATGAAGAAGTTAAACTTTAAACATCCATGACTTAAACACTTGATCCAGGATCAAAGCCACAGAGCTGCACCTGCAAGGTGAATACAGCTGGTAACAGAACAAGTGTTTGAATGCGGACATTAACAGGTTTATGATATCACTGCCCCGTCTAAGACACCATCTGACTTTCATTACATTAACTACGAAGCCAGTTCAACCGACCCTGGATATGTTTGAGTTACCCGGTTCAGAGAGGTGTTGCACGAGTCGATGTGTTCACTGAGAATAAAGAGATTATTATGGGATGGAAGCAGTCGGTACCTTTGGTCCGGCGAAGCCAGCGAAGCCGGGCTGTCCGGGCTCGCAGTTGCAGTCCGTCGGACTCTCGCCGAGGTCTGCGTTGTCTCCGGACTCTTCAAAGGAACCGGTGTCCGGCCCGACCGCACGATACGGTAGCTGAACAAAACAAAGATTAAAACTAAAGTAACCAGCCTGTTTTGAAAATGTAAGAAGTAGAAAGTACAAGTATTTGTGTTCAAAATGTGAGAAGTCAAAGTAAAAAGTCGTCAGGAAAATAAGTAGTGGAGTAAAGTACTGATACCAGAAACATGTACTTAAGTACAGTAACAAAGTACTTGTACTCCACTACTTCCCACCTCTGTAAAACGCCCCCTCGCTCTCAGATTTCTCACCCGCATGGTCTCCGTGTCCTCCTTGGCGTAGTGTGACTCGGCGGTGGTGGCGTAGGGGAGAACGTCCTCAGTGATCATGGTGACCTGAGTGGGCTCCGGGTCGTACGGGTCGTACTCTGAAGGCAGAGGGGGATTCAGTTATAGTTTTATTAGCGACAAGTTAAAGGTCACCTATTGTGCAAAATCCACTTCTCCATGTCTCTTCTTCATCAACATGTGTCCCCTCTTCTTCATGTCTCTTCTACATCAACATGTGTCCCCTCTTCTTCATGTCTCTTCTACATCAACATGTGTCCCCTCTTCTTCATGTCTCTTCTCATCAACATGTGTCCCCTCTTCTTCATGTCTCTTCTACATCAACATGTGTCCCCCTTTTCATGTCTCTTCATCAACATGTGTCCCCTCTTCTTCATGTCTCTTCTACATCAACATGTGTCCCCTCTTCTTCATGTCTCTTCTACATCAACATGTGTCCCCTCTTCTCATGTCTCTTCTACATCAACATGTGTCCCCTCTTCTTCATGTCTCTTCTACATCAACATGTGTCCCCTCTTCTTCATGTCTCTTCTACATCAACATGTGTCCCCTCTTCTTCATGTCTCTTCTACATCAACATGTGTCCCCTCTTCTTCATGACGGTGTCCCCTCTCTCATGTCTCTTCTACATCAACAGTTGTCCCCCTCTTCTCCATGTCTCTTCTACATTCAAACATGTGTCCCCTCTTCTTCATGTCTCTTCTACATCAACATGTGTCCCCTCTTCTTCATGTCTCTTCTACATCAACATGTGTCCCCTCTTCTTCATGTCTCTTCTACATCAACATGTGTCCCCTCTTTCTCATGTCTCTCTCTTCTCATCACATGTGTCCCCTCTTCTTCATGTCTCTTCTACATCAACATGTGTCCCCTCTTCTCATGTCTCTTCTACATAACATGTGTCCCCTCTTCTTCATGTCTCTTCTACATCAACATGTGTCCCCTCTTCTTCATGTCTCTTCTACATCAACATGTGTCCCCTTCTTCTCATGTCTCTTCTACATCAACATGTGTCCCCCTCTCTTCATGTCTCTTCTACATCAACATGTGTCCCCTCTTCTTCATGTCTCTTCTACATCAACATGTGTCCCCTCTTCTTCATGTCTCTTCTACATCAACATGTGTCCCCTCTTCTTCATGTCTCTTCTACATCAACATGTGTCCCCTCTTCTTCATGTCTCTTCTACATCAACATGTGTCCCCTCTTCTGTGTCTTTCTACATCAACATGTGTCCCCTCTTCTCCATGTCTCTTCTACATCAACATGTGTCCCCTCTTCTTCATGTCTCTTCTACATCACCATGTGTCCCCTCTTCTTCATGTCTCTTCTACATCAACATGTGTCCCCTCTTCTTCATGTCTCTTCTACATCAACATGTGTCCCCTCTTCTCATGTCTCTTCTACATCAACATGTGTCCCCTCTTCTTCATGTCTCTTCTACATCAACATGTGTCCCCCTTCTTCATGTCTCTTCTACATCAACATGTGTCCCCTCTTCTTCATGTCTCTTCTACATCAACATGTGTCCCCTCTTCTTCATGTCTCTTCTACATCAACATGTGTCCCTCTCTTCTCATGTCTCTTCTACCTCAACATGTGTCCCCTCTTCTCATGTCTCTTCTACATCAACATGTGTCCCCTCTTCTTCATGTCTCTTCTACATCAACATCTTGTCCTCTCTTCTCATGTATCTTCTACATCAACATGTGTCCCCTCTTCTTCATGTCTCTTCTACATCAACATGTGTCCCCTCTTCTTCATGTCTCTTACTATCAACATGTGTCCCCTCTCTTCATGTCTCTTCCTACATCAACATGTGTCCCCTCTTCTTCATGTCTCCTTCTACATCAACATGTGTCCCCTCTTCTTATGTCTCTTCTACATCAACAGTGTCCCCTCTTCTTCATGTCTCTTCTACATCAACATGTGTCCCCCTCTTCTTCATGTCTCTTCTACATCAACATGTGTCCCCTCTTCTCATGTCTCTTCTACATCAACATGTGTCCCCTCTTCTCCATGTCTCTTCTACATCAACATGTGTCCCCTCTTCTTCCATGTCTCTTCTACACAACATGTGTCCCCTCTTCTTCCATGTCTCTTCTACATCAACATGTGTCCCCTCTTCTTCATGTCTCTCCTACATCAACATGTGTCCCCTCTTCTTCATGTCTCTTCTACATCAACATGTGTCCCCTCTTCTTCATGTCTCTTATACATCAACATGTGTCCCCTCTTCTTCATGTCTCTTCTACATCAACATGTGTCCCCTCTTCTTCATGTCTCTTCTACATCAACATGTGTCCCCTCTTCTTCATGTCTCTTCTACATCAACATGTGTCCCCTCTTCTTCATGTCTCTTCTACATCAACATGTGTCCCCTCTTCTTCATGTCTCTTCTACATCAACATGTGTCCCCTCTTCTTCATGTCTCTTCTACATCAACATGTGTCCCCTCTTCTTCATGTCTCTTCTACATCAACATGTGTCCCCTTCTTCATGTCTTTCTCTCAACATGTGTCCCCTCTTCTTCATGTCTCTTCTACATCAACATGTGTCCCCTCTTCTTCATGTCTCTTCTACATCAACATGTGCTCCCTCTTCTTCATGCCTCTTCTACATCAACATGCTGTCCCCTCTTCTTCATGTCTCTTCTACATCAACATGTGTCCCCTCTTCTTCATGTCTCTTCTACATCAACATGTGTCCCCTCTCTTCATGTCTCTTCTACATCAACATGTGTCCCCTCTTCTTCATGTCTCTTCTACATCAACATGTGTCCCCTCTTCTTCATGTCTCTTCTACATCAACATGTGTCCCCTCTCTTTCATGTCTCTTCTACATCAACATGTGTCCCCTCTTCTTTCATGTCTCTTCTACATCAACATGTGTCCCCTCTTCTCATGTCTCTTCTACATCAACATGTGTCCCCTCTTCTTCATGTCTCTTCTACATCAACATGTGTCCCCTCTTCTTCATGTCTCTTCTACATCAACATGTGTCCCCTCTTCTTCATGTCTCTTCTACATCAACATGTGTCCCCTCTTCTTCATGTCTCTTCTACATCAACATGTGTCCCCTCTTCTCATGTCTCTTCTACATCACACATGTGTCCCCCTCTTCTTCATGGTCTCTTATACATCAACATGTGTCCCCCTCTTCTTCATGTCTCTTCTCAACATGTGTCCCCTCTTCTTCGTGTTCTCTCTACATCCATGTGTCCCCTCTTCTTCATGTCTCTTCTACATCAACATGTGTCCCCTCTTCTTCATGTCTCTTCTACATCAACACGTGTCCCCTCTTCTTCATGTCTCTTCTACATCAACATGTGTCCCCTCTTCTTCATGTCTCTTCTACATCAACATGTGTCCCCTCTTCTTCATGTCTCTTCTACATCAACATGTGTCCCCCTTCTCATGTCTCTTCTACATCAACATGTGTCCCCTCTCTCTTCATGTCTCTTCTACATCAACATGTGTCCCCTCTTCTCCATGTCCTCTACATCAACATGTGTCCCTTCTTCTTCATGTCTCTTTACATCAACATGTGTCCCCTCTTCTTCATGTCTCTTCTCAACATGTGTCCCCTCTTCTTCGTGTCTCTTCTACATCAACATGTGTCCCCTCTTCTTCATGTCTCTTCTACATCAACACGTGTCCCCTCTTTTTCATGTCTCTTCTACATCAACATGTGTCCCCTCTTCTTCATGTCTCTTCTACAATCCATGTGTCCCCTCTTCTTCATGTCTCTTCTACATCAA